AGATACTAGTTATAAAAGTTATAAAAGGAAAAGAAATGGTAAAAATCGGTTTGTATTGGTGTCAAGGGAAAAGGACAATAAACAATGGAGGACTGGAAGTGAGTGATTTTTTCAGAGGATTCGGATTTGGTGATAAAAGAACGAAGGATAAAGACCCAATCATGTCCAGCGGAGGACTTCTCACTCAAGCCAAACATGAAGTTATGATACGAGGGTGCATATGCAAGGACTGTGCTGAAAGTATTACGCCAGTAGAAGGATATAGAAACATACACAGTAGTGATATCTTTTATAAAAAGAAAACATGTGACCCGTTTTCGCAAGGCATTTTCCTCAAAACTTTCATTTATTCAGGTTGACAATGCACTCGTCCATCGAGCTAGGTTGACACAAGCTAACGCTGTGGCCAGAAATCGAATTGTTTAAGCTGGCTTGGAAACGCTAGAGGTAGGATCAGCTAGCTTATAGGTGTCTAGAGGAGTAAACATTCCCTGTCGACCGGTGACACCTGGAGTGTGAATCTTATGTATTGATAGTACATGGCCGTAGGAACCGGGGGGCACGGGGGGGGGGGGCGTGCCCCCCTAATAATTTTGCCGATATATAGATTACTATAGTAAACATAGGTAGTATATGCTGGTGCCCCCTCAATAAAAACGTCTGATGACCTTTTTTTTTTTTTTTTTTTTTTTTGCTTGTCAGGAAATTTTTGGTAGTGCCCCCTCAACTGTCAACTGAAAAATGTATAAATGTATGGCTGTGCCCCCTCAAACTGAAATTGCTTCCTACGGGCCTGTAGTAGACGAGTAATACGTAGTCAAATTAAGTAAAAAGTATGGTATGAAACATGTCAGACAAAAATACGACCCAACGATAGGTTGTGTATACAGTCAAAATTATTACAATTTCTATTTGCGAAAAGCTGACTTTAAACGGGCAAAACTCTTATTTGCGACTAATTTTATTTCTATAAACATGTATTTATTTTGAAATGTGATTTGAGATTAATTTATCTCTGATTAAAGAAATAATATATGGGTGAATTTAAAAAAAATTGACCACCAAACTAAAAATTTTTGAAAATTCAACTACTTCTAACATATTTTTCACTTATATCATCATATTGCACATGCATTGTAGTTTAAATTCCTGAAGTGGCAAAACAATAGACAAGTAAAATTTCTTTTGAAAAAAGAAAATATCATTACACCTTAAAAGACTTTCTAAAATTCATAATCACAAGAAATTATAGTTTTTTATGTTTCAAAATGATATAAGGGGTATAAATGATTAAATCTAGACCTTGATTGAGTATCTTATCTTGTATGTGTGACAAAAAATTGGCTTTTGATTGTTATTTTACATTATTTTTTTCAATTCTGGTTTGAAAAGTTTTAATATGAAAAAAATATGAAGCAATAGAATTCCCCAAATTTCACTTTTTTGTCCGTTCAAGCCAATTCTTTAAATCTAAGCCAAAAAAGAATTTTTATATACGAGTTCTCTTACAAAAAATACTAGATTTTGAAGTGAACCTATGTTACATTATTGTGTTGCACTCCTGACATCTGATATGTATTTCATTTAACATTGTTTTAAAAATTATAACACGCAATAACCCATTCTTACTTTGTAAATTAATTTATCGTTTTGATATTTTTGATCGTTTACGGCAGGTTTTTCATATATTGAAGACCTTGACACATGATTATTTGCAAAGTGTAATATATATATATATATATATATATATATATATATATATATATATATATATATATATATATATATATATATATATATATATATATATAAATTGTATATAAAACTATGTGAAATGATGAAAACTATTCCCTCAATTGACTAGAAAATTTCTGTAACTTGTTGATAGACATAGTGTTTTGAACATCAAATAGTATCAAACATTTTTCAAACTCATTTTTTAGTAAAGATAGTTGAAAAGCATTGGTAATTATAAAGCAGTTTTGTTGCACTCCTGACTGCAGTAAAATTTAAAATTAAAACCGTAGAACACAAAAATTCATAAAGTGTTGGCAACATCAAGTGGTAATGAAACTGTGCAATGTTTATAGTCCAATACTTCAGTATTAAAACAAATGAAAGTATTTGAAATTCGCATTTTATCTGGAATTATTCCCTATTTATGCCAAAAAACTAGCTTAAATGTATATTTAGAAGATAAAATATATTTTATAGCATATTTTCCTTTAGAGGACAAACACAGTAACCCACCAGAAAAATTCTACTCATCATTTTTTTCTTTATTTTTGTTCTTATTGGATGACTTATAATTCTAACATATTTGTTGCACTCCTGACCAAAAGCATTGGGACCTTTAAACTAGAATTGTGAAGTGAAAATTACATAAGAACTTGTTCTGTTGTTTCAGTGAAATCGAGGAGGAATTACTTGACTTGTATGACAATTTTTTAGTGTGTTTATTTTTAACATTCATTAAAAAAATCACAAAAAAGATAAAAACACATCTGAATTGATAAAATTGAAAATTGAAGGATTTTAATAATAAAACTGTCAATAATTTAGTATTAAATTATACAAAAAGATCCTTTTTAATTATTGAATACGTCTAAGCATGAATAGAAGTGTTTTCGTCACACAACTAGAATCTTTAAAAAAAATGTGTTGCACTCCTGACCATAGAAATAAAGAGCTGATGCACAGACAGATCCGGTAATTGATAAATATATTTGGTAAAAATGTTCTTTGTGTTTTCTTTTCCAAAATAAAAATCAGAAATCATATAATGATAATAGTTTTTTTCATGCTTGGGAGCAAAACATCAAATGTTGCACTCCTGACATTATTAGGTATGCACATATACTTGACTCTAATTAATGCTGCTTGTGATTTATATAACATTTTTAAGTTTTAAAATGTATATCAGTTATTGTTGTACACTTCGAAAATTCTTTTTTGTCTTAATTTTCTTTCAGAATTTTACAATTGATGTTTTTTTGGCAACATTACATTTTTTCTGTTGCACTCCTGACATGGTATAACATTTTTTTAAACATCAGCCACGACCACAACTTGATTAAACAAAAGTTACTACTGCGCACATTTAAAGCTCAATACTTTGAATATTATCAGGAAAGTCTTTATTTTCAACATAAAACATTATTATTTATTTCACAGATCTCCAAAAAATATTGAAATTTCAAAATGTCACAAAAAGATGTTGCACTCCTGACAATTTTAGCATCATTTTTAGGCATAACTTTTTTGTTGAGATATCAACGAGATATTTGGCAGGTATTTAGACACTCTCTAAAGACATATGCAGAGATATAGAAATCTTTTTTCATTGCCTGCATTTTTATTGTGGGTTGATAAATATGCTTTTGGTCATTTATTTTAATTCACCAATATATATAATCCGTTACTGTTTTATTTTTCAGTTCTAGTTCTACTTGAATGAATTATATTCTGTAACATCCCATTCTTCTAAGATACATAAAGTTATCTTTTCAAAAAAAATATACAATCATATCAGTTAATACACACACACACACACACTCTCTCTCTCTCTCTGTCTTTCTCACACACACACAAATATATATATATATATATATATATATATATATATATATATATATATATATATATATATATATATATATATATATATATATGATGTTACAGAATATAATTCATTCTGAGTAGAACTTAGTAGAACTAAGATACCAACTTCCGTCCAAACCCGGTATTTAACTCTCGACCTACGGAATCATATATATATATATATATATATATATATATATATATATATATATATATATATATATATATATATATATATATATATATAACTGGAAAAAAGTTAGTAAATATTCTGCATAGGAGATTGGTTTTATACGTGTATTTTTTTCAAAGTGCGTTAAGTGTCTCCATGGTAAAAAAAAGTTGATGTACATTCTTAACGCACTTTGAAAAAAAATTTCAAAGTGCGTTGATTTTGTCCCAATTTTAACGCATTTTGAAAAATTTTTTCAAAGTGGGTAATTTCTTCAAATCGCGTCGCCGCAATACAACCTTTTATTCACGTTATACATTTGACTAGAATTCATGCATTTCCTAGAGCACCGTCCCTTGATGTATTCTGTAGACAGGCAACCATTAATACACCTTTATCTTGTAATCTATTTACATTTATACACCACCATGGTAAAATTTGTTTGATTTTCGATTATGTACATTTTCTCAATTTTATGTGATACATACATTATTGAATTGCTGTTCTACGTACATAAGTTATGAGGAGGAGTGCTGTCCAGACAGTTACACTTCTGAGACATGTATATCCTGTCCCTTGAAATCTTTTGTAGTATAGGGACTCAGTTGTAATGTCATATATGGCTTTCTGGTGTAAGGGAGATAATTCAAATTACTCATTACTTCTGTTTTGCTTAGACTCAACATCTAGTATTTTTATGTTCAGTATTGCTGTATGTTCATGCATTTTCTTGTCCTCTTGAGTGTTACAAATTATGCTTGTATCTATGTTATGCCCCCAGTGGGACCATGATTGGCAAATAAATTCTATTCTATTCTATAATATCCCAGCTGAACATGTAATACTCAAGAACATAATCTATTTATTTTTTTAATTTGCTGAAAGAAGACAACATTATTAGTAAGGTGTGTTTAGGATATACAATGCAGCTGATAATCTCTTATAATAAGAATCACAAAACAAAGTATATTAGAAAGAAAGAAAGAGAGAGAGAAAAAAAGAAAGCTCCAGAACCTAGGGTTTCCGGCATAATCTGAAATACATTCCACTCAAACATTTAGAATATTTATATCACATTGTAACACATGCTCACTAGCATCATTTGTGAACATATTATTTATACTATGGAAATTGTAAAGTTCTATATCTAAGTCAATTTGTTGTTATAATTATCATCAATATTTTTTATTCCTTGATTGTTACTAAGTTATGCTGTTCAGTACCTAACCCTAGGAAATTAATCCCTTTTTTATCATCTGTAGTCCCTTTTATAATTCTGACAGATGTGTTCAATTCGGCTTTTCTTCGTTCAGTCATGCTTTTCACCATGATGTCTCCATTAGTTTCATTTAACATTCGACTAATCGCCAAATCCCATCTTTTCTTCCTTTCCTTTTTTTCGCGGTCTATAAACGATTTCCCTGTTATTTTGGAAACGGCAACAATATGGGTAAAGGTGGAGAATCTATGAATTATCATTCCGATCAGCTGGAAAAACAGAACTAGTCCAAATGATATGCAGAAAACAATAGAAATGGGATCTACATCGAAGGAGCCAGTCCTATTTGGACAAGGTAGACGTACGGTAAACACGTCATTATTGAGCTCATTTGCTTGCGTTATTACAAAGACAATAGTTATGTAGATTATATTTATCATAATAAATCCAGCATAGACAGAATTTCGTAGATTCAATAGATTCTCCTGTTTCTTAGTGTCCTCTTGAATATTGGGACTAAGGTATTTATCTATGATTTCGTTCCAGAATCCTTTTCATCTTTTTCAATATTACCAGCATCGGCTAACAATGCTTGTTTTTCTTGTTTCCTTGTGTTTACGTCAGCAGGAGGTACCTTCCCTGGGAAATTAGAAAAGACAACAGTCATGTCAAAAATATCATAATTTAAGAGAAAAATGTGTATGAAATTTAAAAGTTGAAGAACATACCTTTATTTTTTTCTTTCTTTTCCATATTTTCTTTTTCTTGCTTTTTTGTTTTATCTACAAAAGTTAAGATTTTTTGTTATTATGAGAGTAAAGTATAAAAAAAAATTGCATAAATCTTGGTGAAATATTTATATCTATTCAACGTTTTAAACTTAATTATTTTAAATTCATTATTATCAGGCCCAGTTCTCTAGATTAACTTTGAACTTTTGGTAGAAGTACTGTACCTTTCTGCTTTTTCTTCTTCCCCATTGCCCTTAAGCTTGGCAAGCAAATACATCTTCAAATAAATAGAGGAGAAAAGAATAGTATGTAAAAAGTTTCGTACATATTTTTTTAAATTACGAGGGGTGATCAAAAAGTTCGCGAACTATCTCAATATTTACAAAACCACTATTCAGATCAGAATGAAATTTGGCACAGATATAGTCATACAAATGTTCTATAAATAATGTTTTGCTCCGTGTTTGTGACGTCACAAAGTGAAAATGACGTCAATATATAGGTGACTTGTGACAAAAAATGGTTGACTCAGTCGTACTCGAGAAACGAAGGGCTGCAAAGTTTAACGTTATATCTTTGAAATTCCTTTGCAATAGAATATGATAATTTGTACAAGGTTTATGAAGACAACAGACTTACCAGAAGTCCAATCATTAATTGGATTGATTATTTTAGTGAAGACAGGGAGATGGTTAAAAATAATGTTTGTTCTATTGCCCAGCGAAAGCAAGCCGGGGAAAAGATGTGTCCGTAGTTGAGCAATTTGTTTTGAAACATCGCCAAGTTTCGATTAGAAAAATAGTTGAATATCTTAACAATAATATAATTATTAAATCCCTAAAATATCGTTTACATTAGACTTTAAACATATGAGATATGATAAAGAGAAGGCGTCCATACTTTATCCACACTGGATAAACGACGCTCCCAAGACAGAGGACTCGGGTTGTGATGGTCACCATGTTAATTCTGGGAAGGGATATCCTTATCCACCTATCCTATTGCCGAGATTTGGCAATTTCTGACAGATGGACTGTTCTTGTTATAAAAAATAACTCACATGGTAAGAAATGTAAGTCTCGGAAAAATGTTTAGCTTCTGTGAACAGACCGCTACGGGGCATGTCACGTGACCGCCTTGCTCACGTGATTCGCGCATGGGCAGAACAATGGCAGATGTGCATTATAATCGGAGAGGACCACTTTAAAAAATAATAAACATTGAAACTTCATTTCATTTCTTTTAAGGAAGTTATTCAATTAGTTCGCGAACTTTTTGATCACCCCTCGTATAGTATGAAATGGTGTATAGTGATGCACGGCCAGGGGGAGGAGGAAGGGGGTGCTACTTTGTTGACTGAATCTTAACCTTACATAATATACATTTGCATCGAAGTAGGAATACTCTCCTGTATCATGTATGTTCGCTTTCTTTTTTCTGAATCTTTGAAATTTACACCCAACCGAGCAAATTATTGATTCAGTTGATAAATAAGATAAATAAACATTTCAAAATCTTCTCCAAAGATGGACTTGTGTTGTCAAAGCTGAATTTCCTTCCTACGCACCGAGGCTTTGTCTCGGTTTAAAATTTGATTGACAAGTGTTTTTCCCTTTCTCATATGAGAAACATTTTCGTTACATATCATTTTACGATATTCAAGGAGCATTCTTTCGGGTTTTGTTATAATTTTTTTTCTCTCGATATATTACTTGGTTATGCTTTTTTATTTTTAATTAACATAATATTTTTATTTCGAAATAAAACTACTATGTATTTCTATGTAGACATACCTACATAATCCAAAGCAGGAACATGTGGTTTCCTCTGGGTCTTCTGGTTTTTGTTTACTTCTCTTACCCGGTTTGTTGGACTCTCTTGTACCCCATGACGTCACGTGCAGATTACCCAGAGCATAAATCAATAGTAACATTGACGTGGTGGGAACCGCCAGAAAGTATACGATACCATAAAAAATGTTGTGAAACTCCTGTTGTACAAAACGTCAGAAACACTTACAAGAACAACGTTACTACGTATACGATGGATGTAAATATAATCCGGCTGTACGACAAAAATATGTCAAATTTTATCGCTAGCCTCTAGAAACAGTAGATCAAAGCTTTCTAAATGATAACGATGAAAATAATATGTATCAATTTAAAAATAGATATTTAATTCATCGATAATTTGTTTTCATACAATTTTATTCATTACAAAATAGAAGTAATGGATATTTTTTAAAGTTTATAATCAAGCAAAGAGATTTTCAAACGAATACCATTGGATGCATAATTGCCGCCAAAAGAAATGCTCCCGCTACGTAGCAGAAAAAGTAGCTTGTAACTGAACAAAATTCACTGTTAATTGCATCAATGATGAGGCCGAACAGCACAACCACCATCATCAGAGCGTAAATTGCAGAAATCACAGACGCTATGGTGAGCTGTAATGATTATGTAAAATGACATTTGTCTAAAAGGATAAATGAAAACAGGAGCGTCTCTAAATAGTTTATATACATTTGTTTTGTTTTTTTCTTATTCCCTTCAGTTTCCTCCAAAGGAATGCACATAAGGAATTTTCTTAAACTCTCTAAAGGATTCAACAAGTAATGAGACAAAAAGGGATTCAAATGATGGCATTCTAAAAATACTGAGAAATTAAAGAAAATGTTATACAATTTGTCTGACATGTTTCATACCATCTGTTAGGTCATTACTTTTATACCAAATTTGACTATTGATTACTCCGTCTACCTGATCAACACATAGGGCTCAAGGCAAGTGTGATGTTTATCCTCCTAGGCATCTGATCCCACCTCTGGAGTTCGCAGTGATCCGTGTATTTGCTCTGTTCAGGATTCGTTTTCTTTACTGGATTGATTACACATCTTTTACACATTAATTAAAGTATATCACTGAGGGAGTCAGCATGATTCCAGTTGCCCAAGAACAAGCCTAGTTTCGAGGCGAAGCCTTAATGATATACTTTAACTGTTTATTCTACCGATACATAAATTAACAAGTTAACTTTTATATGCAGTTCAGTTATGGTGCGCAATTGAAATACCGCTAATTTTTTGCGATAAAAGGATACATTTTTATAGGGCTGGCGTTTCTTTATCAGAACTTTTAAAATATTGGACAAAGGTAACGTGGATAAAAACAAAATGTTAACGACGATTTGAACCTGCTACTAATAACCCACTTTTCATCCAATCAGCAATCGTGATGCATGTTGTATCCGACACTATCACTTTTCCACCAGTTGATTACTAGAGAATGAAATGTGAAGAAAAGGAACAATATTCATGCTTAAATAGATGTTATAGTGAGCAGAGCAGTGAAAGACCTCTGAAAAACAGAAGTTGAATCAAGTGCCATGGAGGAATGAGCATTCCCTGTCGAACGGTCACATTGACCGTATGCCCCTCATCAGAGAAAACGGGAAAATCCATAGACAGTTCGATATGTAAATAATGTCTTAACAATTTGTATGAAAAAAAAATCAGTCAACATTCAACCTAATGATAAATTGAATTTGTAAACAAGGTCATTGTATCGACCATAGAATTTGCCAAGTGTTGCCTTATTCGAGTTTGTTGATGTCCTTGTATCATCAACTTGTTGTCAGTAGCCTGCCTTGTTTTAGAAATTGTTCGCATGTATGCTCTTGCGAATCGTTTAATCAACTGGGAGACATAAACCTTATACTGCTATATAAATAAGTGAAGTTTCCAGTAGAAAAGTTGAAGTCATCACATTTATCAAAGCTAATTTGTTAGTTTGCCATAAATGTCTTTCTCTAGTTAAAATACATATATGAAACGGATTTGTCGTGTCTTTTATTTCGAGTTCAATGGGATATATCGAATCAACGTAGGAATGAAAATAGGTATTACTACTTGATGAAAACATATCTGAATTTTGAATTTAAAGCCATAGCAAGAGACTTTTTCTCCTATAGAATTTTTTGAATAAATTCTGCTTCATAAAAATACAAAACCATGTCTGCTCATAACGGGCCACAATGATGTAGATAAAATAAAAGAATAAAATTATTAGAAAGGCATTGCATTCAAATGAATGGTTTGAAAAATATTTGCAAGCAATATTCTGTTTTTAAAATTAAAAACACATTTTTCACTGTCAACAAATAAGATCCGCATCTCACTGCACAATAAATGCGTCAAATTTTATCATGATGTTGACATATTCACGTTACTCATTTCCCACGTTGTGCTGCTGAATGAATATTCACGATTTTAATCTGCAAATATCGAAACTTGTAATAAGATTAAAAGAAATTGCTATGTGGTCCGAATAGATGAGTAACAGTTCATCAAACTGATTAACCTTTTTGCAGGGAATTAGACATTTTATGGTTATTTTCATGGAATCAGCAAAATACCGACTTATGCTTATATAGTGAAAAATCAGTAGAGGTATAATAAAAAACAAAGTATATTAATGAGGGAGTCAGCAATATTCTAGTTCCCCCCGAGCAAGCCTATTTCCCTTGGCTTCGTCTTGGGAAATAGGCTTACTCTTTGGAAACTGGAATCTTGCCAACTCCCTCACTGATATACTTTAACTGTATATAAACATGAACCGGGATAATTACCTGTGTTTTCTCCTCTGCAAATACACACGATAACATAAAGATACCAATAAGTGTGATGTTAATGATGAAGGCTACCCAGAGTGGAATGACTGGAAATGCCAAAACAGTAGCTCCAAGGATCATAAGGAAAATTGTTCCCGGGGTAATAATGGATGAAGCGAAAAGAAACATGTGGTACACCAGGTACAACTTACTGACATAGCCATTTTCGGTTGTAACAGATGAAATACTAGAGATAATGTCAAAAATGTTAGCTAATGTTGAAGGGGACCATCTTCTTCTTTGATTGAAAAACTCGAAAAACCCTTCAGGTACAAATGTATTGGCATCAGAAGCTGCTGTGTATTCCAGTTTGTAGCCTTGTTTTAATAGTAGAGTACTCAACCACCTGTCTTCCCCTGAAAACATGGAATTCTAATCAGGTAAATAATATGTAGTGGCATATATATATATATATATATATATATATATATATATATATATATATATATATATATATATATATATATATATATATATAGATAGATAGATAGATAACGAGCAGTACCCAAGCTCATTAGTCCATGCAATCAATACAAATCAGGAGGAGGGCAATCGCGGAACTATGAAATATTAGAGGCGGATCAGGTGCCATGGAGGAGTGAGCATCTCCCGCCGACCGGTCACACCCGCCGTGTGCTCCTTGTCATGATTGGGAAAAAACGGAAAAATTCGTAGACAATTCAGTGTGTAAATAATGGCCAAATAAATAGTATGAAAAACATCCGTCAGCAATTGACTTAATGATAGATAGTATTTGCTGACAAGGTCATTGTATCAACCAAAAAACCTTACGAAATGATGGCTTTAAATGAGACTGTTGACATTCTTGTTTTATCAACTTGTTATTAGTAGCTTGCCTCTTTTTAGTATGTAGAGCATGCTCTTCCGTATCGAATTAACTCAGAGACATTAACCCCATATGCAGTTGATTAGGATACAGTGAACATTTCTACATATAAGGGAAGTTGACGATTGAAAAGAGAAAGTCATCACGTTTATCATAAAAAAATTATTGTTAGGTTACCATTAACGTCTTTTTCTAGTTAAATATCCAAATATGAAACAAATGTGTCAGACTCTGTTGTATCTTTCAAGCTCACTGGGATATATCAAGTCAACATATGAATGGAAGTTACTATTGTTAATTGATAATACGTCGTCGATATATCTAAATGTCGGGTTGAAGGTCTGCTAATAATGGGGCTTAATTGGTACCCATGGGAATTCCGACGGATTGTTGGAACACCTGGTCTCCAAAACCTTCATAGATATAATTATCACTCGAAAACTCAAGCGTCTTTTTAATATCAATCAGAGTGTTTATATATATATATATATATATATATATATATAGAGAGAGAGAGAGAGAGAGAGAGAGAGCGAGAGAGATGTACTAGGTCAAAAGAGTTGAACTTACCCTGGTCAAACTGGACGTACTCAACAGCAGTTGATGGGATGCTTGTGTAGATCTTTATGATATCAGTGCTCATCAGAGCAGAAGCTCGAAAGAGACTGAAACAGCCAGGTGAACACAGGACACATCCGAAAACGTGCTCAGTTGATTTTTGTAACCAATGACTCGCTGCATACTCAAATTTTTGATACCACACAACAGGACCTACAGATTTTTCAGATACATGTTATTTGTAACCTTGAATATTTTGATATTATTAAGTTAGAAATTTTCTACTGCTCTTTTGCAATTACCTCCACCCATTGGTATTATTCGTCCACAAGCTGCTCCTACATCATTGTTTTTCTGCATTCGTTCCAGCAATCTTAGGACAGCACTTGGTTTGAAATCAACGTCGCCATCTAGAGCGAGGATAAACGTGTTTGGGGCTATAACGTTCGCAAACCTCTTACGTTTCTCCTCTAAAGTGTCATTTTCCTGTCAGTAATCATGTAGAATGCTTAAATTACATAGTTACATATTTTTGAAATCAGTTATGCTAGTAATTATTGTTTATTATTATAATTTGAGTTTTATCAGCATGATTTAATTTTCGTGTTCATTTTGAAATTTCATTGCTAAATTCAATGTGTTCATTATTGCTATACAAAGAAGAGTACTCTAAATCACTTTTTATTCGAGAGATCTTTATTTTCGCGTAATTACGCGAGACCGTCTAGTCGTGAAAATTTCATTTGCGTATAATTCTATTATTAAAGATTATATAGAGCAATTAGCAAAATTCGTGAAAATTTTGTTTCGCTTTTAAATACCAAACAACAATCTCGCGAAAAGAAGGTCTTGCAAAAAAAAGCGATCTACACTAGTTCCATGGGCTGTTACGGTCACCAGGGTATCATAAGTTTCTCTTTCTATGACCACTTTAATAGATAACATTTTTAAAGCTGTAATGTATTTTCAATATATGACCAACTTGGACCCACTATAAACCCAGGGAATATGAATTTTACAATACTGGTAAAGAGGTGTAAGTACTTATGTAATTCTATAACCAATTTGCTCGCTACTTTGATTTAAAAAATGATTTTCACAGTTTTGGTAAAAGGTTGAATGCTCATTAAAATCAGGCAAACAGTTTGTCATCTGGATGTTCATGAGTAAAGAAGAAGAATTTAAAAAATATAAGGTATTTTCTTTGCATGACTACTACGCCCTATCCCGGAGTCTGAACCTGAACGAAGGGGCCATGAATTTCATAATTTTTGTTAGGGCTAATAGCTCATTACAATAATTCCATAAGTTTGACTACTTCATTTCCAGGAGAAAAGATGTTTTTGAAGATTGCATTAAGTTTGATGGTGTAGCCAAATCCTAGGCCCCTAGGCAGTATAGATCATGTAATTCATAATTTTGATTCCCCTCTACCCATAAATATCAAAACGTTTATTAGAAATGACTTACCTCTTCTCTCATTTTTTCAGATCCACTAGCCTTAGTTGAGCTTGTTGATTTTTCTGAACTTTCGGGCAATGCCCCCTTTCTGCCAAGTTTTTTAGATATCGAATTGTAGCTCAGAAGAAAATACATGTACATCACCTACAAAAAGCTTCTATATAATACTGTATACATGTAAATATTCACCCCTTCTATCCTCTTTGCAAGTGGACGAATTTAAAACAGATCGAATTTAAAGAGGACAGCATTATCCCTTTACAACTTACTTTGGAATCCAAGTTTGCAGGTGTTAAAGGGTGAAAATAACATGGGGCGAAAATAACCCTGTATACTGTACAATTCGGTGATGCAACATGAACAAAATTAGCCTTGGCACTTTTTTGTCTATTCCATAACTTCATAAAAATATATATCATATAAATCTAAAATTTACCTGACTCCACCTCTTCTTATTGCGAATAAGAGCTTTGTCTTTAAGATGGAGGACAAGTTTACATGGGACTGTCCAAATATTTGCTAGATTTTCTGATGATGTTTCAGAAGAGTTTTTATCAGAACTACCTGCTCTAGAACTAGACTCATTGCTTTTGTTTTCAGAACTACATTCAGAACTGGATTTATCGTTTTTGTTTTCAGAAGAATTGCCTCTGGGACTGGATTCATTGTTTTTGCTTTCAGAAGAACTACCTCCAGCACTTGATTTATTCCTTAAGGATTCACGCACGCTTGACTTAAGATCATCAAAATTCGGAACAAGTAAATCCCATTCTAGCCTCCCTCCATACGGTGTCTTATATTTCCTAGAGGTAGGAAACTCCTCAATTCGATAAAAAGACCTGAAAGAAGAAGAGTAGAATAAAAAATATATCATAGAGACATGCTTTCAGGCATCTGACACACACACATACACACACACTCTCTCTCTCTAACATCCTCATAACGGCTAAGAAGAGAGTCGACAAGGCGCGCAGAATGCCTATAGTTTCAATATGTAAAATTCAAATTCCATTTATGAATTAAGTACACGTATTTAGAGCAAAGTTCCAATTACTTAAAAGTATGAAATTGTGACGAAAAATTCCTGAAAGGGAAAAATAAGGATTTCTTGGGAATTGAACCCAAACCATAAAAATGCTGGATATTATTTTTTTCCTTTTGAGACTGACAGGCTAACCACTCCACAACACAGCTCGTAAGAGGTACTAGTATATTTAAATTTTGTTTGTGATATGACCCTTGAATAACTGAAATTTTTCTCGGAAAGATACGAATTTCGTGTAATAACATGTATTTATAGGTCACCTGGGTCACTCAGGTGACCTATTGATATACGTTTTCGTCCGTTGTCGTGCATCGTGTGTCGTGCATTAACATTTGAACATTTTCAGTCTTCTCTGGAACTACTCAACCAACGTAAGCCAATTTTTGCATGTAGGTTGGGTAAATGGGGAACAAAGATTGTGCATTTCATGGTCCCTTCCTCCCTAGGTCCTGGGGGGTGAAATAAAAACCATCAAAATTAATGCAATCTTTACCTTCTTCTTTACTCCTGGAAATCAAGCAGTCAAACTGTTAGCATGATTATAAAACTTTGAGCCCTCTACTAAAATTGTGAAAATCATGGCCCCAGGGTTAGGGCTTTTAGTGTTAGTGTGGAGCTCTATTGATAATATAGTGAAAATGCATAAATTTTTCCAAAAAATCTTCTTCTCTCCCCTGTATATTTAGCAGACAAAGTAAATGCATGGTCTACATGAACAAGGATGGCTTTTTCAAAATTGTGAATTTCATGGCCCCGGGGTCAGGGATACTGGTCCTAGGGAGGGGTTCTATTGATCATTTAGTGAATTATTTCTTTAAAAATCTTCTCTGCTCCTGGGTATAAAGCAGATAAACGAAGTGCACGTTTGTGAAGAGAAAGGGTCCTCTTTACAAATTTGTGAAATTCATGGCCCCTGGGTCTGGGGTTTTGGTATTAAAGTATGACCCCTATTGATCATATAGTGAAATGCATAAATTCTTTTAAAATCTTATTCTCTGTCCTTATGCTGCAGCATATTCAGGTAGCTGTTAAGGCCTATGGAACTTTTGTTAAGACGGGGGGTCCTTGCTCCATATTTTGGTTTAGCAAAAAATAGCATATTTTGAAGATATACTATTAAAAAATGGAGCGATGATCCGCTTATTTAAAGAATTGTGCTATAGTATGAAGAAATGATCATTTTGGGCTCTTTGGATTGTGCATGCTTTTTCATGTAAGAATAATTAAAACACTTGTGAGATTGTTGAAAAGTTTGTAGATTTTACATAAACTATACATTAATCTAAACTGAAATATCACACAAAATTGTGATATAATTGAGATTTAACTTTTTAACTTTCTTATTTGTCGAACCATAGGCATTTTCCACGGCTTGTTCGCCCAGCTTCTTTGAGAGGTTTAAAGTCTTGTCAGTATTATAACGTTATCATGTCAGTGTGGCATAGATTGTAGTGAATGTATTCAGAGGAATTTTTATTTATCTAGGAATCTGAATGAGAAAGCTTTTTTCTCAGTTTAAGAGTTTGAAGGCAGTTTTCCATATATGTATATATTTTTGGCTATAAACCTTTTACATTACATGCTTTTTAGCGACATGATCTAGCACGTACCATCGTTTTTGAAAGTGGAGGGAGAACCGGGGGAAAAAATTGACAAATAACCTGAAAAATCTTTACCAATCAATAAAGAAAAGGAAAATTATCCAAGCTCCAAAATCCTATTTCGGACGGGGTTTGGGGTGGGGGGTTCAACTTTCCAAGAAATTTTTAGATTTAAATTATGTTGTAGTAATTTTATTTTCAACCTATTTAGTCTCTGAACAGTAAAAGTTAGGTATGAAAAAAATGCACTGAAAAATACCTTGCAGTATCCTCGATACATTTTATAAACTGTGTAACATATTCGTTAGTCTCTCCTCCAGGGCAAAGCTTCGATTTTTCTTTGCTATTTATTCGGTCCTTTGGTTTTACTTTTTCCCTATTTTCCTTGAACGCGTCGTCAAAAAATATATGGGCTGAAAATAAATCATCATTACATATTAGTTATAAAGAAAAAAAATACATTGCCGTCCGTTAAAAATCCTTCTTTTCCGTGACAAGTTATACTGCTTTTCTGCGATGATATGTTTTCATTTACCTACGAAAACGAGATCAAAAAGAATACTCTAACCTTCAAACTGATAAAATTGTTCATTTGGCTCCTTCCGAATTCCTTTCTCCAGTAGGAATAGTTGCTTCACTACCATCATAAATTGATGTCTGTTTAATCTACAATTATTCAATACATTCAAAATACTTACACTTTTTTATTCCATAGCAACGAAGTTGGAGGGGATATAGTAATGTGCTTTTTTACGAGGACATGCTCTACTTTGTCCTGCCCTTGTTCTTAAAACTTATGACTTTTTTGTTACAGTGCACACTGTGTATCCATTGTTAATTTTCGCGAATTTGTTGAAAATCAGAGAAATGAAATAAACATAACAACCTGGTATTTGCTGAGACGAACTTGTTGCGCAGCAAGGTCATAAACTTACTATCTTTTTTAACATTGTATTCTACATATAATGATTTCATACTTCACATTAAAGGTAACTTTAGTATCCTTTCTTGAGTAATAATGATAATTTAACACTTTTGTGAATAAAACTGGAAGTTGTTAGTTTTTCTCCCATCGGTAAAGGTTATATATGTACATGTATCCTGTTGCAGATCGGAATCCTAACTAATGCAAAAACTCCAGTAGAGCTAAAAACGGCTTGCTTCTAGAAGAAATGTTACCTGAAAATAGATCTCAAAAGTGTTTTCATTTCCAGCTCTGTTTCATGCCACATTGTTGCACAGAGATAAATAACTGGAATAGGCTTTGTTTTCGCTTTATTGATGTCAGGCTAAAAAGAAGAAGAGTTAGAATTTTTACCTCATCATCGACATAAATTTTAGCTAAAACAACCAAGTATCATGAATTTTAAATATATCATTAGTATTAATATGAATGACTCGCCAAATTAATAAATAAGTTTTGTCTTGTATAAGTAATCAATTTGGCGAAAGCTGTAAACTTTAAGAGTATATGTAAGGAAATTACTTAATATTCTTTTTAATTATTTCATTTTCATGAAGATAACTTCATGTTCAATTATTTATTTATCCCAGCAGAAATATTTTCATAATTACATGTATTAGAGAGTCCAGAAGTAATGATATCCCTGGCGTATATATATAGAAGTTATTGAGCAAAAGGTGCACTGTGTACAATGTATAAATACCAAAGGGTAAAATGATACAAATTTTCAATATCATTTCCCTGCCCCAGCAAATTAGTATTTTTAATCGAAATTTGATGTAGTCCTTGAAATTTTCGTTAATATAAAAGATTCTAATTTTTAAAATTCATTTTAACACTTCAATCAAAACTGACACAAAGAGGATTTACTAATCAGAAGAGGCCTTTCGGGACCTTGTTCCATCTTTTCTTTCAACAATTGATTGTTGACATGTTTTTAATGTGATTCCAGGCCACTGAAATTTGTTAATGAAGATAGCGGACAATTTTAAATACATTTCTTTTCTTTTTTTGTTTGTTTGTTTGTTTGTTTTGTTTTGTTTTTTTTTTTAATTTTTTTATTATTATTATTTTTTTTTTTGCTTCGCTCATATTAATTTAATAGTTAATACATAATACTTATTTTAGAGGCTATATTTCTGCTTTATGTCTTTCAAATAAGAGATTACAATATTACATGGACATGTCCACTTTTCCTCAATCGTCTTCTTGACCAAAGTAATGTTATGTCAACTGCATAACCAGCGTAAAAAGGCATAGCAAATATTCTGTAAATAGATAAGACTGAGATAAATTGAAAGTTGTAATTCGAAGATCTACTTCAAATACATGTAATTATTGAAAGTATGAAGTAAAATTAAGATAGTACTGATTAAATAATAAATTGACCAATCAATAATTAACATACATGTATTAGAATTTTTTCCAATAAGGTATGTGGTAAGTAAAATTTACTTTTCTAGCTTTTTAATCCTCATCCCGTTTCGCCAAACGTACGTCGTCAGCAGAAGAACACTAAAGAAGGTGGAAACCCCGCAGAGCACGATCATCGATTGGCTGGCGACATCTCCGTTGGCATTGAAATCCCAGTCGTTAGAAATTATACTACATTTTCCAACTGTGGCGAAAGCATATGGTTTCAAGTAAAATCCAAGAAGTATAGGTACCAAAACCAAATTTAATATAAGAGGAATGGAAAAGCTTGGCCATTGTAGGTATGTTCTGCATGCCTGGTAGCTAGCCTTAAAACAGAGGTACGATGCAAAGAGACTGACAATAGCTACGTAAAACGGATGCTCTGTATAACAGTGTTCTCGGAAATTAACGGTACTGACGAGGCGGATGTTTTTATCTAAAAAAGTTACTGTGGCATTGGTTCTTGTTCCAAACAAAACTTCGATGCCGTCGTGTTCACTCATGACACGAAAAGCAACCAAAAGAGTGATAAAATTAGTAACAACTTTACTCACTGACAACCCCATCATTATTATCTTTCTATCACGAAGTCTTTCAAAATTGAATCCCGATACATTCTCCCAAAATCCAATTGACGAAATAGAGAAAATTATAATTGTAAGAATAATTATACCCAAGGGAGAATTGACATCATTTTTTTCTGTTAGCAAGGAAGCATATGCAATAAGAAAAACAAAAGAACAACTGGTAATAAAACCCATTAAAATTTTAAAACCAATTATTTTCCAAGGTTTCTGTTTTAGTTTTTTATGACAACGAAAGTAAGGATTCAGGTATCCGTTTAATACAGTAGGCACCAGCAAAGTCATGTTAGTGGCTATTATTCCAGCGGACGCCTGATCAAATGTGGGGAGCAGAAGAAAAACAGCCAACGTTTCTCCAATAGCTTGTACTGCTCCAATTCCTATAATTACAGCTGCTTGGATGCGCTATAAAAGAAAATACAGCATTAAAAAACAAATTAATTATTCGTTAACAAATACATTCTTGAGTTAAACTTTGGACTCAACGAATGGAATTAATTTGAACTGTAAACATGTGTACTTACTATATCAATTTTTTCCTTGAAATATTCCTCAACTTTTTCATCGTTTGGAATATAAAAACCAATCGAATTTTTTAATTTGGCATTTTCGTCATTACATTTTATCTTAATTTCCATCACATCAGACCTTTTGCAAACTTGCAAAAAATGATAAGCAAAAGAATGTAAAGAAGGCGCTAACAATACCAGGAAGCATGCCCAGACCCATGATATATGAACTTCCGCTGGTACAAACGAAGCCGTGATATTGGTTGTGTCACCCCCAAATTTGTTTAAGGCTGTAAAAATGGTTGGGGGGTTGAGATTTATCAAAAGTAAATGAAAACTGAATCTCGAAATCAAAGCCGTGAGTAAAATAAAAATAAATAGGGACAAGAGGAAGATGAGACGCAAACAGCCATGAGTTCTGTCTAGCCAGTTCCGCCTTACGTCATCCTCGACAACCTCAGGACTTTTGTCAAAAATGTCATATTTACTGCAAAAAAAAAAGAAAGAAAGAAAAAGAATAACATTGAATATAAAAATAATTGTGAATCTAAAAGCCGTGATCTACATTTATTTTAGAAATAATATTATTACATGCAACTGTTCTTTCAATTTTCCAATTACATACACTAGTTATATACCTCATAAAATTGTTAATTTCAGAATTTTAGAATTAATATTTCACAAACATTCAAAACTTTGCGAAAAAAAAATCTATAAAAATACTTTTTAGGGTTTTTCACTTTCTGTTTCCTCGGAGCTGAAGAACTCTGTGGAAGATCCAAATGTTGAACACTTGTCATCTCCAATGTAAGATCCTCATTTGCTGTTTTTAAAAATCTCAGAAATCTAATTCAAGAAAGATAAATCTTTGTGAGATGTTTGCAAATTTTTAAGATTTTACATATAAAGTATAATTTATATCAAAGAAAATGTTGTTTTACATGTTGTAATACATGTAACTGAGTTCATGTTTATCGCACTATAGGCACTTGGCTCTTCTTGTTCACCCATCTTCTTTAGACAAAATTTGGGCCTTTCAACAGGTCGAGGAATCTACCTTATACGGATATTGTTGTCATTGCGCACAGCGGTGCATACAGCGAACAATGAATGAACAGAAATGGTCTACTATATGTTTATATTTTACACGTTGTTCAGGCAAAAGTATCCGATTTCAAATGACTGCGGGAAAACTAGAAATTAAAAGTTAATGCATTTAAAAACATAAGTTTATTGCTGCACGGCATTTATTTTACAGAGTATTACTTCTCATTCACATTGATCATAGAACGTATATTGAGTAGTATATATATCGAAGTTGTATTCGTAGTAAACAATGAAAAGTAGGTGAATACATCTCAAAGTCGATTGTTTTAGACTAGGGAATAGTCACAATGAAATTCATATTCACTGATCGTACAGCACGGGAAAAGCTACATGTTGTATTAAGTGTGTAAAATGCTTGGAAAAATACATCATGTCTTTCCGAGGGCGATTTGAAAAACTGGCCTTTTCAAAACGTACATGTAGTATTTGTAGTAACCCATAATGCACCTCATTTAACTGATTGGACGGTTTGTTAGGTTTGGTGCCTAATTTATCCCGACGTCACAGCAAATAGTTTCCTCGACCTGTTTAATCGACAAGTGCTCAATTTTTTTTTTCAAAAATTCTAGCAGTTTACTGATTTACGGTACCGCGCATCTCTATATATAGTTGTTTATAAATGCATTAGCAAATAAGGTCATTTTATGATTAAGTGAACATATACAGCTAATTATTTAAACTGACTGCAACGTGAACTAAAGCTGCTTAGATTTGTTAAACAAAGACTCGCAAAGTTGTCGGTGCATTAAAAAAAAATCAATTGCATTGAGCAGTATTTTACTCAAATATCTATTATTATGTGTATTTTTCGTAATCAATGATCTAGGCCGTCATGCAATTTTTTCCCGACTGTTTATAATCTGACAAGCCTTGTCATGCTTTCCTTACGAAGTACAAAATAGCGGTTACCGTAGTATTTTCGATTGCTTGCTAGATAGCTCAATTAGGTAAACAATTTGGTCTGTATCTATCAAAGACATTTAAAAAAAAAAATAATTTTACTATTTCTTTGCATGTTGAAAAATTGTTCGTTGATCAAAGGGTTGTGTTGCCAGAAAGTAAAAATTCATACTCTGAAGTGCGAAGAGCATTACATTGTCCAAAAATTATTTCAACCTTATCAAAGAGGGAATTTTCCATTCATATAATCAATTTTAGCTTAAAATATGTTGCACAGCATTTATGAACACAAAAACAAATTTTTGGAACAATTTAATATGCTTACATATCGAAACCTTTCGTAAAGATACCGTCCTCTACAAAAATTTTGAATTTTTCAATTTAAATTTGTATATGAGAATTCCATCGAAAACTTGACTTTTAATTTGTAGAGCAACACACACATGTATTTTACAAATGTATGATATATCGTGTCAAATCTAAAACCAAGAGTGTAACACTTTTTTAATTTCTTTCTGCTCAGCTGCTAAAAAATGTTAAATTACATATATTTGCAAGTCTTGGGCTTATTATTGTCACAGAATCTTAGCTGGTCTGCATATATTGACGGTATTGTAAACAATGCTTATAAAAACTTGGGCTTTTGAAAAAACTAAAGTTTAAATTGAGTAGAAATAACTTCTCAAAGTTGTACACTACATTTGTTAGACCAATGCTTGAATACGCTTCTATTGTTTGGGATGGTTGCTCTGAATATGATTCTGAAAAGCTTGTAAAAGTACAACTAGCTGCGGCTAGAATTGTCACAGGACTTCCTATTTTTGCGTCTACAGAAACACTTTATTTAGAAACTGGTTGGGAAACTTTAAAATTTAGGCGCTATATTGCAAAAATGACTACTATGTTCAAAATTCATAAAGGGACTGTTCCTGAATATTTAAGTAATATTACTGGTATACCAAACAAGCATGAAAATGTATCAAAGTACAATACCCGCAATAAAGAGCAGTTTATTATTACTTACTTGTACTTACTAATAACAATATTTTTGCTGCTGTTCATAAATTTATTGATGAAACATGTAGATTTTAAATTGACGTCTTATTCACTTATATCACTTGAAAATATTATATTTTAATGTATTATTTGCATGACATATTGTTATATTTAAGGAGAGGAACCAGTAAGTTGCAAGAACTGTTTCCAATCCTTTTGATTAATTCAATAGAATATGTTCAAAACAATGTTAAATTACATACCTTTGCAAGTCTTGGGCGGCCTCTCAGTTTCTAGTTTGCACACGTTACAATGAGGGGGAGAAAAAAGACCTGGAAGTTCGTAAATGTTTTAAACACCCTTGAATCTATAATTGGTTGTTAGGTATGTCAAGGAAATATTTTTAAGCTGAATATTCTTGATTGTTTAGTATTGAGCAGAAATATAATTGTGCTTTCAAACCATATCCCCGGTCAGTCTCAACCAATCAAAATTTATGTATCATCGAAACAGATCAGTGCATGTTGAATCAAAGACTTGTGTGTGTAATGTAAAATATCAACCTATGTTGTCAGTACTAATATAGGTAGTACAGGTCAGGCAAGATACCGATAAGTTAATCCTACTAGCATATGTATACAACTGCGAAATGCACCCCACCCCCTCCCCGCACAAAATAAAAATTGCAGGCATTGTCAAACGTTAAACTGCCACCTGAACTGCAGAATAAATAAAGACAATATTAAAACTCTTGTTGCAACAACGTGCCATATGTTTACCTTTTTCATGATTTTTTTTTTATTTTATGAAAATATATTTTTTTTAGTTCTCTGTAAGAATTTTGAACGATTCTAATCGTGTATTTTGTATATTATTTGTAATTATCACTTTTTTTTTTATCAGATCTGATAGTGTTTACGTATAAAAAATGAAAATGAACTTCTGTTGTTCATGTGTATTTTAATACATAAAAATATATTTGAACAGCTCATTCTATCAATTCTTAAAGTTAATTAATTAACTCTAATGTAAATTTTGTTACGGATAATTTACGGGTAAATTTAGAACATGACAATGCTATCAAAATGTATGCACTAGCAAGGTATCGTCTCTTCATTACCTTGGGTCAATTGAGTAAAAAAAAAATCATCCTCACAATTTCAAGGTTTTGTGATTTCGGAAGTTCCGAAATCACAAATCTTGTCATTATGAGGATGGTAAAAAGTCTTTTAAACGAATGTGGCTTTAGCCTTACTTATGGACGACACCATAGATGTATAATTTATTATGGGTTAAAAAAAAGCAAAAAACAATGCTTGTTGACCCAAAAATTCAAAATTAAAAAGGAATGTTTATAAATAATTCATCTAAGGAAGACAATTATCGAATTTTGAAAGATACATGTATATTAGAACCAGAAAGAAAATCTTATGTAGCTTAAAATTTTCAACTTTGTTAATATTCAGATTAAGATCTAACAATTTTAAACTTCCTGTACTGGAAGATGGAATAGTTCTCTAGAGAACAAAGGATTTGTACTTTATCTGATCATTTTAAGATTTGTGTCTTTGAATGCGCACTAAAATAAAAGAAGCTAGGTTGAAATATATGGAGACCATGTCGGTAGATAAAGTGGATAAGATGTGACAGTATTTTACGAATAATAGAAAATGTGCAGGCCCATAGGAAGCAATTTCAGTTTTTGGGGGGCACATGCAGCCATGTATTTTCAGTTGGGGGCGCTATCAACTACCAAAAAATCCTTGACAAGCAAAAAACAAAAACAAAAACAAAAACACCTCAGCTTGCGATTTTTATAGACGTTTTTATTGAGGGGGCACAAGCATATAGTAGCCATGTTTTCTTTAGTATTCTATATATCGGCAAAATGATTAGGGGCATCCCCCCCCCCCCCGGTTTCTACGGCCATGATGTGTACGTATGATATAAACACATTTACCAGGCACTACTATAAATCAGCTATAGAACTTTAATACCGGCGCGGATCCAGGAATTTTTTAAAGGTCCACCTCAGTCCCAAATCCAACCCAAAATTCTTGACAAGCAAAAAAAAAAAAAAAACGGAAAATGCATTTCCCGATCATGGAAAACACCTAATTCGTGGAAGTGAAGGTGGGGTCCACGTTTTCTTGGGGGGGGGGGGTCCAAAGTCATTTTTACTTGCTTCAGTATACTCTGCAAATTCCAGGGAGGGTCCGGACCCCCCCCCCCCCAAGATCCGCGCATGTGATACATCTTAAACCACTAAGGGTGTTCATATAGCGCCGAGCGGGCGTATAAAGTTTATTTATGAGCGGGAAACTTAATAAGAATTAAGTTATAAATTAATACTTATAATAGACACAGAATCGTCAATCCGGAGATGTTCAAATATGTCACAACTAGTTAACAGAAACACTCACAAGAGGACATTTACCACACGTGGACAACACAAACATACACAAAAAGATATACATGTACATAAACATTGAAACGGATACATTTAATTAATTACACTGGTTTACATATATATCAAATAATCAAACACACAGGCAAAATATAGGAAAAAAATTGATCAACTCTTTTCAATAACAGACTTTTCTGAAGTTCAGTATTGAAAAATCACGCAAATATCTTTTAAATTAATTGTGAAATGGAAATTGTATACTGTTAATTATGTATCAATACATTTTCATTTTTCCTTATACCAAACAATGTTTTACATTCTTAAAATGGAATGTAAATTTTGGTGTGGATTTCTTTCTTAAGGTCTGACGACATATTGCTCGAATATGTTTAGTATTTCTTCGTATTATACAACAAATGAATCTAATTATCAATCTCTTGTGATTTTTGAACTGTTTTTGAATCAAAATGTTTAAGTAGGCTTCAATAACCTCAGGTCTTTGAGAATAATTATTGTTCAGGTAATCATTTGAGCTTTACATTCAATAGGATACAGTGAAATTGGTTCAGCAAAATTGAGCATTATTACACTGTACACAGCGGCACAGACAGTGCACTGTGCACAGTCCATTTAAAGTTTATTGATTTGAACATATTTTATTGTTTATATATTACAACAAAAGGATCGGACACAAGTTCTTAAAACTTAGAACGTCCTCTCCTTTATAACAATTAATTACACAAAATAATGTTAAAAATTTAAGCTACACTGGAACCAAAGGTCAATATGATTATCTTTCATAGGTTATGCATGTACAAAATTGATTTGATGTAGTATGTACAAATGAATCTAAAGATATAAATTCAAAAACGACCAGATCTCTTAATAAACAATTGCACATTTAAAAATAAACTTTCATTTTCAGAAATGCTAATCGAATCATCTCCCCATAACAGTTCTACAATACGTAAATTAATCATTCTAAAAATAGCATTAAAAATCGTTTCTTGGGACAGTGTATTTCGCACTAGAAAAAAGTAATGATATGCGTCTTCTATTTTTCCGCAAGTGCATAATGGACTGTCAATGATGTTACACCTAAATAAATCTTTATTCAGAACGCAATTGTGTCTTAATCTAGTATGAATTACATTCCAGTAACGAACACCAGAGAAAAAAAAGGCAGGAGTAGGTGTTTTTTTTGAGAGTTTATACAATTTTTGAAGGAACCTATAGTAGTGGATTGTCTTGTTTCAGGAGGTAAAGAGTTCCATTCCTTTATTGCCATTGGGACAAATGATGATTTATAAATATTTAATCTACACTTAGGGATGCAATAATTTTGTGATTGTCTTGTTACGTAATTTGATCCGTGTGATCGAATGTTTGGAAATATTTCTTTCAGATACTCGGGTACCATATTATGAAAAATTTCATACATAGTTGTTCTTACTTTGGACATTCTTCTAATAGCAAGTGGTTCCCATCCAGTTTCAAAATAGAGAGAATCTCGCAATGCCAAAGAAGTTAATCCAGTGACTATTCTTGCTGCTGCTAACTGTAATTTTTCTAGTTTTTCGGAATCTTGACTAGAACACCCACACCAAACTTCAGTTGCGTGTTCTGGGGTCTTATAAAAGTAGCATATGACAGAGATAAAGTTTTAGCACTTACCCAGACCTGCAATTTTTTAAGTAGACCTAATTTTTTATATGCATTGGCAACGATAGAATCAATGTACGCTGACCATTTAAAGTTGTGTGAAAAGAGAATACCTAAGTGGTTGTGTGATGATACAAAATCTAAATAACAGTCCTGAAATTTAAGCCATGGTAGATCGACATTTTTCTTAGTACTAAAAAAGATAGCTTTGGTTTTCGAAGGATTAAATTTCAATAGCCACTGTTTAGACCACTGTTCAAGTTGATTTAAATCATAATTCAATCCTACTTGAATATCATGTATATTTTCTGAACAGTTCTGTAAAGAATTATCATCAGCATACAACCTGCTTAAGCTCGACATATTTTCAGCAACATCATTGGCATATATCAAAAATAAAGTGGTCCCAATACAGACCCATGAGGGACTCCTGCATGTAAAGGTTTAAAATTAGACATTGTATTCCTATGCAATACCCTTTGTGTCCTTAAATCTAAATAACTTTGAAACCATAGGAATAATTTATCACTAACACCATATGTTTGTAACTTAAATAGAAGACCTTTATGCCATACCCGATCAAATGTTTTAGCCATATTTTCCTATCATATGATTGTTTTTGTATTGTACGTGATTTAAGATAGATGTATGCGCCTTTGTGATCGCTGAGAGAGTGTTCTACGTCTATTGTCCCAGAGTCCAATACATCGACTTGTAGATTTTCGCTAACAAGAATTGGGTCTACAGTGGGTCTATGAAAGTTTTCGTGTTTTTCGTGACTCTAGTTGCGTCGCAGACTGTGTTTTGAAAGGAGTATTTTAAGAGAATTTCATTGACAACATGTGTGATTTGGAGATTTAGAAAGTTTACATTTAAGTCACCTAAGATTAAAATTCTATCGGATATATCAACAGCTTTTTCAAGGGACCATTCAAACTTTTTCCAAAATGAGAAAGTTTATTATGATCGGGTTCGTTATCTAAGTTATTTTATACGAGATTCCGAGATTTTGCGGGAAGACCAGCACTCGCTGCACTGGCAACAGACTAAGAGACTTCGTGATAAGAAAAAAAAATTAGGATGTGGATTGCTGATGTCTTTATAAAGGCGATTGAATCTAATTGTAGATAGAGTTGTTTTACCATTAAAAGTGATCGATAGACAGGATAGCACTCTCTAAAAATGTTTATCCACCGCAAAGGAAAAGGTGAGGAAAACACTTGTAATTACAGTATTCTTTGTAATGTACTGGTTTGTAAATTTGTCATTTGACACAAAAAATCGTTTGCATCTTGTATTTTGATTGCTCCAGGACAGGGTTACCCATCCATTGAAGGAAAAAATTAAACGGTGTGAATTTATCACACCAGAACAGGTCCAGCACAATCTCTTGATTAAGCTATAGCTTTATTAAGCTATTCAAAATAGCTTGATAAAGCTATTTATATGCAGGCTTTCACAAAAATGTTATTTGTACAAAATAGACAAAAAGTCGCAAGTATTTGACTATTCATATATGTAATATGGGTTATCAAATCAACAACCCAAATCAAAGATAGTTCCAACATTGCAGCGTTTGAATACTTTTAAGCAAAAGATGAATTTCCATTGTTTGGGTAACTCTACACTACCTTGTGTACGTTGAGGCATGGATAAGTATGATTGCTTCTCATTGTACAGAATTATTAATTTATTACCAATCAGTTATCTTGTGGACCATAATTGGCCTCCTCTATAATTTCATTGAAGAAGTAACTGTATCAATTGCTTTATATAGCCCCAAAATGTTTAGAACTTTAAGTACAAAGTCTGTTAAGGAGATGCAATTTGATGAGTGATTTTTACATGCATTATTTTCAGAAGAGTTCAAGGTTGAATATTATCACTGCACCAAGGTGCGACTTTTTGTGCATATTTGGAAAATAACACATTTGAGAGAAAAATGTGATAAAATAGCTAAATCAAGCTATTCTGAATAGCTTAATAAAGCTATATAGCTAAATCAAGCTATGTAGCTTAATCAAGAGATTGTGCCGGACCCGCAGAACTAATTGTTGGGTAAAATAAAGAAGAAAATCTTTGACCTTCGGGTTGACCCCCCCCCAACCCCCAACCCCCAACCCCCAACATGCTGAAAGGGAAACAAATTAATTTTATTTTTGAGAAGTAACGTAGCGATTGAAGTTATTGTTTATTCGCAAGCTGAACTTATGAGACAGTTTGAGTGAAAAAGTCCTCATTAAGTCTAATTGTTTAAAATTGAATTCATAACACATACTGATTTTATATAAAAAATGGAACTAAACAAATAATTCTTGAGGTTCTTTTTAGGGGAATAATAAAAATCCTGTACATCATAGACAAGCCATGATGGATGTAGTTGACTAAATTAATAATATAATTATATAAATATATATGCTGTCAACATGTATGTAATTGTTTTGTTTAAAAACAAAGTTTGCAGTTGCACTAAAATATGTGTATATTGAGCATTATCTAAGAAAACATGGTAATGAATGATTCACTGGATATTATGAATTATGATAAAATGAAGCACTTTTTTCTATCCCAAGATAACTGCGGGTTTCACTGTATGTGAGTTTGTTCGAATTTTGATACTTATATATGCACATGCTATGGCTTCATTTAGGTCGGACATTTGCATATACATATATTATAAATATTATAACAAACTAGAATATATTTTCCCTTGTACTGACTAAAGATAAGACTCAGAGCTCCAGATAAGGTGCGTATTTGCAGAAATATGCATTGAATTTTTAGGTCACCTGAGTCACTCAGGTGACCTATTGCTATCCGTTTTCGTCCGTCGTCGTGCGTCGTGCGTTGTGCGTTAACATTTGAACATTTTCAGCTTCTTCTCTGAAACCGCTCAACCAATTTCAACCAAATTTGGCATATAACATCTATGGGTGAAGGGGGACAAAATTTGTGAATTTCATGGTCCCTGCCCCCCTGGGGCCTGAGGGGTGGGGCAAAAACCACTAAAATTAATGCAATCTTTAAAAATCTTCTTCTTTACTCCTGGACATCAAGCAGTCAAACTGTTAGCATGATTGTAATAAGCATTGAGCCCTCTACCAAAATTGTGAAATTCATGGCCCCAGGGTAAGGGGTTCTGGGGCTAGGGCGGGGCTATATAGATCATATAGTAAAAGTGCATTATTTCTTCAAAAATCTTCTTCTCTGCTCCGGGGTATAAAATAAACTAACTAAGTACACAGTTATGATAAGCAAGAATGCCCCTTCCAAAATTGTGAATTTCATGGCCCCTGGGTCAGGGGTTCTGGTGAAAGGGGGGGGGGGCTCTATTGATTATATAGTGAAAATGCATTATTTCTTTGAAAATCTTCTTCTCTGCTTATGGGTATGAAATAAACTAACTAAGTACATAGTTATGATGAGCAAGAGTGCCTCTTCAGAAATTTTGAATTTCATTGCCCCTGGGTCAGGGGTTTTGGTGAAGGGGGGGGGGTTATTGATTATATAGTGAAAATGCATTATTTCTTTGAATATCTTCTTCTCTGCTTATGGGTATTAAAGAAATTAACTAAAAACATAGTTATGATGAGCAAGAGTGCCTCTTCAGAAATTGTGAATTTCATGGCCCCTGAATCAGGGGTTCTGCTGTTAGGGTGGGGCTCTATTGATTATATAGTGAAAATGCATCAATTCTTTGAAAATCTTCTCTGCTCCTGGGTATTATTTAAACAAAGGAATTGCATGGTTATGATAAGCAAAAATGCCTCTTCCAAAATTGTGAAATTCATGGCCCCAGGGTCAGGGGTTCTTGTGAAAGGGGGGGGTGGCTCTACTGATTATATAGTGAAAATTCATAATTTCTTTCAAAATATTTTTTCTACTCCTGGTTATAAAGCAAAGAAACAAGTGTATAGTTATGATGAACAAGGATGCTTTTACAAAATTTTTAGGTCACCTGAGTCACTCAGGTGACCTATTGCTATCTCTTTTCGTCCGTCGTCCGTCGGTCGTAAACTTTTGAACATTTTCAGCTTCTTCTCTGGAACCAGTGAACCAATTTCAACCAATTTTGGCATATAGCATCTATGGGTGAAGAAGAACAAAAATTGTGAAATTCGTGGCCCCTGGCCCCCTGGGGCCTGAGGGGTGGGGCCAAAACCATCAAAATTAATGCAATCTTTAAAAATCTTCTTCTTTACTCCTGGACATCAAGCAGTCAAACTGTTGGCATGATTGTAATAAGCATTGAGCCCTCTACCAAAATTTTGAAATTCATGGCCCCAGGGTCAGGGGTTCTGGTGCTAGGGCGGGGCTATATAGATCATATAGTGAAAGTGCATTATTTCTTTGAAAATCTTCTTCTCTACTCCTGGGTATTATTGAAACAAATTGAATACATAGTTATGATGAGCAAGAGTGACTCTACCAAAATTGTGAAATTCATGGCCCCTGGGTCAGGTGTTCTGGTGTTAGGGCGGGGCTATATAGAACATATAGTGAAAGTGCATTATTTCTTTGAAAATCTTCTTCTCTACTCCTGGGTATTATTGAAACAAATTGAATACATAGTTATGATGAGCAAGAGTGACTCTACCAAAATTGTGAAATTCATGGCCCCTGGGTCAGGTGTTCTGGTGTTAGGGCGGGGCTATATAGAACATATAGTGAAAGTGCATTATTTCTTTGAAAATCTTCTTCTCTACTCCTGGGTATTATTGAAACAAATTGAGTACATAGTTATGATGAGCAAGAGTGACTCTACCAAAATTGTGAAATTCATGGCCCCAGGGTCAGGGGTTCTGGTGTTAGGGCGGGGCTATATAGATCATATAGTGAAAGTGCATTATTTCTTTGAAAATCTTCTTCTCTACTCCTGGGTATTATTGAAACAAATTGAATACATAGTTATGATGAGCAAGAGTGACTCTACCAAAATTGTGAAATTCATGGCCCCTGGGTCAGGGGTTCTGGTGCTAGGGCGGGGCTCTTTTGATTATATAATGAAAATGCATTATTTCTTTGAAAATCTTCTTCTCTACTCCTGGGTATTATTGAAACAAATTGAATACATAGTTATGATGAGCAAGAGTGACTCTACCAAAATTGTGAAAACAATTTTTTTACCGTATATTTTTTTGAAATTGATTTTTATTACTTAAAAAAAGAGGGAGATAACTCTTCAACAAAGGTCAAGTCATAAATTAGGACACTTCCATTCTTTACTGCTAATAGTAATAAATGTAGATTATGTCTAAATATTCTGAGTATTCCACCCGTACACATCTGTTATGTATTCAAATTCATTGAATCTGAGGCTATTAGGGATGGAATACCAGTACCTTAAATGTTCATCAAAGACCAAGAGTCTTACTCAGGCCAATGTAAGAGATTTCCACAAGGAATTGAAAGAGTACAGAAGCACTGATAGTTTCTTAATATACTGTCTGGTGAGAGTGATAAATGGGGAACAGATTAGAACCCAATTTATGAACTTTTAATGAATACTAGACTAATTATTTTGTTAATCCTGATCACCCTATTTTTCTTGCTTTTGGGCAACAAAGCTTCACCTTTCAGTTCATTTTATACTCTATGGATCCTCTAAATTGTTGTATTATACTCAGGTGACCGTTAAGGCCCTTGGGCCTCTTGTTCAAAATACGCATTAAAAATTAAAACAGGGCGTACAATTACGCATTAGCAATCATAAATAAGCATTACACTACGAAAGTACTACGTACAACGGATTGAATGATACAAGTATTATTTAACTAATTATGTGAATTGAGGTCAGCTCAGTGTTTGAATTTTTATCAAAAAGAATTTTGACTTATAAGCATATTCGAAATAACTTAGGTCGATTTCCAGTTCGGAAGAAAGATTTGAATATTAAATATACTCGTACTTTGTCTGAAAATATCTCAGATTTCCACTGTTCCTATACATGTAACATCCAAATTTTCGTTCTTGACGCGTACACGTCGATCGATATTGTCAAAATTGCGCAAAACACGCATGGTGTCTAATTTATCCTTTATCACTATTTATTAAACAATTCTTGTATATTTACCATTTTCTGTAGCAATAATATCATCTAAAGTGCGCTGACAACCTTTATTAATTGTATAAAAATTATTGCTTTTTTGCTTTCCATGTGTTCCTGTGCTATAATAGCGCCACGCGACTTTTAATGCAAACGGGGAGTAACTCTAAAACTTTTATCTCGATCGATGCCAACAATTTACAGTACCAACCAGACCCAACCTGACACAAAGCAGTCCCAGAGCAGTCCCGGGGAATGCTTTCTGGGACTGCTCTGGGACTGCTAAAGCAGTCCCAGAGCAGTCCCACAGCGGTCCCAGAGCAGTCCCAGCAGTCCCAGCAGTCCCAGCGGTCACAGAAAGCAGTCCCAGCAGTCCCAGTGGGCGGGGTTAATTAATTTAATGGGCGGAGCTTACTCAGAAATGAGATTACCAATAAACAATGTAACTATAAAAGGCAGTTGAAATTGATGATCCATTTCTTTCTGAGCAGTATCAATTTCATGCAACAGTCATTTTTGAACTGTTAAGAAAATCACACTACGCATATAGAAACAAATAATAGATAATGAACAAAAAAGACGTTCACACCTACTAATAACATGAATATTTAAACACAGTTTTGTGGTATATTAATTTTTCACCAAAATAAATCAATTTCTAAATTACTGTGATTGATATTGGTTTCCATATTTATTTATTTTTTTTTTTATATAGAAAATTAAACTTGAGTTTTTTTTTTATTTTCTATCAAAACTAGCTTTAAATAGGCCTTATAATTATAGAGCAAGGCCGATTTCCATACTATACTCTGAATGCAGTTTTCTTAAGTACTGGAGCTTTTGAAAAATTCTTTGTGTATTATATTTCAGTCACAATTATTTTCACTGACTTGCCAATTTAATTATCGTTAGATTATCTATGTAACAGAAAACAATAATTACACATGCATATAAACGTTTGAGTGTACATGTGTAAATCACGCGAATGGAACCCTCAGATTATGTTCAAAATTAATTAATCCCGAAGTAAATTTATACACATTTATTGAAACGAAGATTATTTGCAGTACATAGATTGAAATTAGTGTCATTGTTGACCAGCATGTTCAGTGATGTGTAACACTGATACCCAAATAACATGCATTGACTTTCTGCTAATCATGCCCGAAGGCGATTGAAACCTCAGGTGTTGACACCATTTTATACAATTGTATTGCTTTTTATTAATCGGCCAGGAAAACACAAACAAAACAAATATGAAATAAGTCACAATTCCCAATATTTTAAAATGTTTATAAATTTACTCTTTTAATAACTTGTTTATAAATCAAAAACAAATTCATAGATAAATCCCTCAATAATTGTTCACAAATATAATTGTTTAAATGACTGAAGAATGGTAGAATAATTTTATTTCATGGTCATTTAATAAATTATTAGGTTTTATTTGAGGGCGGTAAAAAATAGCATGGAATGCTCTTTTTTAGTATGCATATGGTTTTAGCTTTTTCAATTTAAAAAAAATCCAGTACAGTACGTCCCTCTGAATGTCTTATTGTAATGACAAGTTTTTTTTTTTTTAAATAGTGCTAATGCAAACTTTGAGTACATTCCGTAACTTGACAGCATTAATTAATTAAATAGGCCTCTATATTTTTTTTCAAACATCTGTATTAAAGTTTTAATTAGCATTAATTAACTAAATAGGCCTAGATATATATATATTTTTCAAACACCTGTATTAAAGTTTAATTTAAAGGATAAAAGTCATCTCCTGACATCCCTTTTAACTACTTTCATTTTTTAAAATTAATTCTAGACTACAATTGTGTAAATTTACAGCCCCTGAAGACATTTAGTAATTACATGTATATCTATCTCTACTTATTAAAATGTTGTAAAAAATCCTTGGTTTTTTTTTTTATTCTTTATCTTAAACACCTCTCTGCTGAAAGTAAACAAAACAACAACAGGGAGCCTGCAAATTCAGAATACACAAGGGGCGGAGCTATCATGTCACTCAGAACCTTTTTCATGCATGAGTGAACAAAGCAGTCCCAGAAAGCAGTCCCAGGGACTGCTGGGACTGCTGGGTCTGCTTTCTAGAGCAGTCCCAGAGCAGTCCCACAGCAGTCCCAGAGCAGTCCCACAGCGGTCCCAGAGCAGTCCCACAGCAGTCCCAAAGCAGTCCCGGGGACTGCTTTCTGGGACTGCTTAGGTGTCAGGTTGGGTCTGGTTGGTACTGTATATAGTAAAACCTAATTATATATTTATCATTGAAAGCAAACAAACAAGCAAATTCAATAGAAAACAACGGGGCAGGATATTTTGAGAGGGGCAGGTGGAGATGAGAATTTAAAGATTAATTTTATCTGGCCAAAGGAAGGATATTTTTCTCGGTAACTCTTGCTACGGTTGATATAGGCCTAAATCTTAAATGGAGTTCTGTGTGCCCATGGTAACTTTGCCTACCGTATGGTCTTTCTGGTGAAAAAACGAAATGTTTCTCAATTATAGCTAAAAGCTGACAATTTTTTTAAAAAATTTCATTAACCTAATTGATAAATGCAGAAACTGTCTTTTTTTTTCATTCCTCTTTCAAAAACACATTTCGATAATAAGCTAAATATCACATTAGATGTCAAAAGAGCAATAGATTAACAAAATACTCTCTGATTATTTTTCTGAAAAGTAAAATCTGCATTGATTTGAAAATCAGGGAGTAAATACACTTTGAGGTAAAAAATTATCTGGAGCTCTGATAAGAGTTTGTATTTTAAAATTTATTATGATCTTTTTATTTTCAGTTTTACAAGAGAATTGTATACATAATGAAGCAACCAGTTAAAGATGCAAAAAAATTAAAATGATAGCACACATGAACAGCTTACGGACTGGATACTGCAGTTGGAGATATCACAGAAGATTGTTGAAGAAATGGTCAGAAAAAAGAAGGATTTCTTTAACCCATTATCTATGTGAGAACAACATGCTTCAATCCAGCTCTGTAACAACAAAAAGTATAGATACATTCAAACCACAAGTGAATGAAATTGAAATCCAGATGTTGCCAGAAAATCTTCATCAACAGATTTTTCCCAACATAAATTCCACAGGTGAATTGTTCATAGAAGTAGAGTTTAGTAATATCAGCAACATACAGAGAATAAATGTATCTGATTCTTTGAATAGTGCAATTAAGACATCCAAATAGTCAGTAATGTTAAACAGAATTCATAATCTCCCAGTCAATGAAATTTTGTTTAGGAAAATCAATAAATAGATCTGTTCAGTTCATTATTTAATGACATTTACTACATGTATCTGATTAATCATTATACTGACATTTTAACTAATGTGTGATTTTTAGAGGGAGAAACCTCCACTGATTTGGATGAAATCAAGAAAAATCTTTCTAAGCATGGTTTGTGGGGTAAAGAGACAGCAGTATTGGATGAGGTTAAGGTGGATCTCCCCGAGCTTCAGGGGAAGTCAATCACAGAGCACTTCTACAACATAGCTAACCAGCAGCTTGATGGCTATGTACAACTGACAAAAGAGTTAATGTGGGAACCAGTTCCAACTAAACCAAAGGTGCATTACATGTATAGTATTTATACATTATGATACCAAATGTTTATTGAATTTCATATGGGAAGACAATATTTTCAAGCATTACACACACTCCACTCAAGACACATGCTTTAAATTTGAATAGCTTAAACAGTCTAGATGTACAGTTAAACCTCATTATCTTGAACATAAAGGGACCAAGGAAAAACTTGGAGACATCCGAGGATTCAAGATATCAGGGGTAAAATACTTAAATAATAAGTGGTTGGGACTTCTAAATCACTTCAACATATCCATTGTATTTGAGATATCAGTGTTCGAGATATTGAAGTTCAACTATATGTCATGATGTGAAAAAGGATGTGCTTACATTTAAGCAGTATTTTTATGTGGTTAGCGATGATTAAGTTGAGTTGAATTCATTAAATAGAGACATTGTTTAAAACAGTGTACGCTAAATAATATTCATAATATTTTGCTGGTTAAATTGACAATTAACTGATATGTACAGACCCTGAAACGTGCTACTACCCCACACGCACGCTGCACGAATGGTACACGATCGATACACGGTTTGCACAAAACGCTGCACGTTTTACACGATACGCTACACGGTTTGCACGAAACGCTACATGGTTTACACGAAGTGCTTTGCACGAAAGGCTACACGGTTTACACGAAAGCCTGCACGAAACACTTTGTACACGTTTCTCACACGCTTTGTACACGATTCTCGCATGCTTTGGCTCGATCTTGATTTTCTATTCGGAATCTCTCGAGCTTTATTTCAATTATTACGGATTAATCAAAGATTAGTTAAGAATTGCAATCATTCAGATTAAGTTAAGATTAAAACTCGCTACACTAGTACTATATTAACAGATAAAATACTCAATGTTCAGTTGTAATTAATAAATAGTTGTCAGTGAGTATGTGAACCGCAGGGTGAAATACTTATCATCGTCTGTGTACAAACCTTTTTTCACTAGACTCTAAATTATGCACTGAAAAAAAATATTATATTTGTAATTCATAATCTTTCACAGCATTTATTGTTTTTCCAATTATAGTTTGATATTGAATAGTCGTTTTATTACTTCATGTAACAAATAAACTCAGTTATTGATTTGAAAAAAAAAATGATTCAATTGCGTATGATTTCTGTAAACAGATTGATTTTCTTTTCCTTTTTTTAATAATTGATTGATTTATACATTTTTTGATAATAGGAAAAAAAAATTTCATTTGATAAAATTAGGTTCTGTTTATAATTTGCAAAGGTAATATGTAAACTGCATCTAACAGGAACATTGTGTAGGAAATGGGGGGGGGGGGGGGGGGGGGGGTAGATTACCGAGATCTTACTGTTGTATCTTCAAATCTGTACATGACTAAATATAACGGACACTTGTTTCAGTAAGTATACCATTGGGGAAAAAAAATACTTGTATTATAGAAACAAGTACCCGTTCTAAGAAAAAAAAAGGATATTCATATCTCCAGCGGGACCTGATACATGCACTTTATTCAAAATAGTAAATATATCATTTCATTACAGAGTTAAGCTTTAATTAATCATTGAAATTTTATATGGTAGAGAAGCCGGGGAATAAGTGTTGTAATTATTTAGTTCTCTTTTGAGGCATTGGTTTATCAAATAAAAACAATATTATACCCACCATCTTTTAAAATCCTTGATTTCAAACAGCGTCTAGACAAAAAAAATTTAATCAATAGTCACGGCTCTTAACAATACATTCAGTATATATGTATACATGTCCAATGTCCTAAAAACTAAAAAAAAAAAATATATGCTCTAGAACTGCATGATTAATAAAACAACTACTATATGATTATTCAGGATTTATTTTATTTACGAATGCACTGGCAAATTAATTCGCTGTTTAAGGACAATCGGATAAATTTAAGAAATAAAATCCACGGGTATTTATTTTTACCAATTAAATAATAATAAAACCGTTTAATTTCACAAATTAAAAACCAATCGTTATTGTTGGTTGTCATCTTAGCTATGATTGACAGGAGATACTTGCAGAACAAGTTTTCAGTCCCTGCACGCAGAAGCCGTGATCTCTGTTGTAAATGACCTTGTTCACAGTCGTAAGAAGAGTGTTGAAAGTATAAAGAAGATTACAATATTTTTTTAAGGGGTGCATCAGGCGCACCCGGAAAGAAGCAATAAATTATTTTAAAAAAGAAAATCATCAATAAAAGACTTGTTTACAACAAAAAATCAGTTAGTATTTTCATTTGATCATGCCCCCCCCCCTCCCGGAAATATTTAACCCTGTATTTGTCGATGCATGTGAATTATAATTCATTTATATGACTATTATTAATCCACCAATTTTATGCATAAAAAAGACTATAAATGACTCATCGTTCCAAAATAATTTGTATCACAATCTTGTAATATAAGAAAATTATGTTCGTTTATAAAGAAAATCAATTAACTGTGCTCCCCGACCTAGAATTCCAATACTTCACATTTATAGCAACACACTAAATTTTGCATTTTATTTTTCATGCCTGCCATATTTATCTATTATTTTGTATTAATCACCGATAGTTCTTGTAATCCTACATCCCATAATTGTAGAATGGTGAAGAGATTCAAATAAATGAATGAAAAGGACATGACCGGATTTCTAATGAATTTTCTTTTAAAAAATGTTCAGTATTGCTCCCTTTAAAAAATGTATTGAATCAAATACCTTGAAATTTATGTGCATATAATTAATTATACTTTTAACACATTTTCTGTCCATCTTTATTGAAGTAAAAAAAAAAGAAAGAAAATCAAACAAATATGTACATTGTAATACATTACTGAGTAATTTTATTTTGTTGTTTCCGTATTTTTTCACTCTTAAAATACCACCGGTATGATATATCCGAATAATATTAGTTACAAACAACACAGAAAGACATGTTGATCCATCAATAGCCATCTTTAAAATAAAAAAGACTTCCGAATGAATCCTACACGTTTCTCACACAATTCTTGCACGAAAGTTGCACGTTTCTCACACGGTTCTTACACGAAAGTCGCATGTTTCTCACACGCTTCTCGCACGCTCGCTACACGGTTTGCACGAAACGCTTTGGAGCTGACACGAAACGCTGCACGGTTTACACGAAACGCTACATGGTTTGCACGAAATGCTGCACGGTTTACACGAAACGCTACACGGTTTGCACGAAACGAAAAGCGCACGAAAGTCACACGCTTTTTTTGGGTAATAGCACGTTTCAGGGTCTGTAGAAGTTCATTATGAAGACAATTATATGTCCTCAACAAAACTTTTCCATCTCTGAAACATAGTTTTAACGGTCCTTGATGGTTTTATATACTGAGAATCGTCAAAAGAAAAGGTATTTGTGTCTTTGACATATACATGGAGTTTTTTGTAAACTAAATGGTGGACATTTAGTACATATCATCAAGTAAGCTGATGGAGCATTTTGTGCAATGTTTGCCTAGAAATGGTCCCAGAGAGCAGGCTGGACAAAGTATGATGCTAAGTCGGGGAGGGGCACCCCAGTGGAATATCCAGAGGAGGACATCTTGGTGTTTGATGTTGAGGTCTTGGTACAAGAGGGACATTATCCAACCCTGGCAACTGCTCTCTCTCCAACAAACTGGTCTGTTGTTCCACCTTGCAAGCTGGGATTTTATTTGTAATCTTTTTTATAAAGGAGCCTTTTCAAACAAATCATTTTCAATGCTCTCATTTTGTTTTGATCTTTAAATATTTGCAAAATTGCATTATATTTGGTGATTTTGTTTATTAAACATTTTGATAATTGTTAAACCATCTTTTACTGGCAATTATCTTGATAAAACTTACGTGATTGTATGTATATTATGAAATTTAGTCGAGAGGAGGAAAAAGTTTGTTTATAAATGTACAATGTATAAGATTTCAAACAGTCCTCTAAAGATCTTAGAATTACATGTAACAGGTATTCTTGGTGCTCAGAGGCAGTAATGAAGGGAAAATTCCGATGGACCAAAAATCCACAGCCATGTGACCTGATTCCCTTGGAGTCACCAGCCCAAAATTACGGTTCAAATAAAGAAGGAAGTAGGAAGAAGGTGGTGATTGGTCACAATGTAGGCTTCGACAGGTCATTCATCAAGGAGCAGTATTATATTAAGGTAGAATAACAGGGAATTGCAAAATAAATACAATATGTACGACTTAAAATTCAAAACGAAAAGATTTGCAGACACTGTTGTTCACAGATGATCAAAAATGCATTTAAGTTGTTAAGAATGGAGAATATTTATGATAATAAACATCTTTTAAAAATCTTTTATTTTTAAAAAGAAATCCGGTGGACGTTTTTTGGACACCATGTCCCTTCACATTGCTGTGTGCGGTATGACCAGCTTCCAGCAAGTTCTGTTTCAGTCCAGCAAGAAGGAAACAAACAGGAAGGATGTTAGAGAATACATAGAGATGAAGCACTCCAGAAGGGAAATGGTAACATACTTTGTTAAATTAAGACTTCTCAAATAAACTTAAGTGTAAATATGACCTATATGGCCTTAGAGATCTCCTTTGTTCAATGTAAGACTTTTTCACCCAGGCTGTATAAACATATTTCTAAGATAATTAAATAAAAAAAAATTGTTCAATAACATTACTCTTCTTATTTATAGATACAGTGGATGTAACAATCAAGTTTCAGTTATACTTTCATACATGTGATTCTTCTGGTGGGAGACGAAATCTCCCGATATCTCACCCCCATCCGCCCCTCCCCATTAATTTTTAAATCTTCCGTGTTTTAAAATTCTTCAAATTAAATATTTTTTGCAATATTTTTTTAAACATGTTTCATATAATTGCTTAGAATGAAAAGAAATTGAGATAACAACACCAGTGCAATAAATTTTCACAGCGGTAGGCTTCGTAGGAATCAACATGAGGTTGTATAATTATGTTGTAAAAATTAGTGATACATGTATATCAACTTGATAAAAGACCATTGATGTTTATTACTGAATGCAAAACATTGTAATTAGTTGCTAAAATACCCAGTTGCCATCTTCTAATGCTGCTTTGATCATTAAAAGATGCAGTTATAATGTAGGTCACACTACAGGGTATTGCTAAAATATTCCTGACTCTAATTTGTTTATTTTTTTAGAGGGTACTTTTTATGCCCCCGGATCGAAAGATCCCGAGGGTATATTGTTTTTGTCCTGTCTGTCTGTTTGTCTGTTTATCTGTTTGTCTGTTTGTCTGTCTGTTTGTTGACAACTTTAACCTTGCCCATAACTTTTGATTGGTTGGAGCTATGACTTTCATATTTCACATGTGTATTCCTTGTGACAAGACCTTTCTTTGGGTACCATCATTTTTGACCTTGACCTTGGAGTTTGACCCACTTTTGCAAAATTTTATGAGACTTTAACCTTGGCCATAACTTCTGAAGAGTTGGTGCTTGGGGTTTCAAACTTCACATGTGTATTCTTTGTGACAAGGCCTTCCTTTGGATATCAACAACTTTGACCTTTTGACCTTGACCTTGGAGATTGACCTACTTTTGAAAAACTTTAACCTTGGCCATAACTTTTGAACAGTTGGTGCTTAGGGTTTCAAACTTCACATGTGTATTCCTTGTGACAAGACCTTCCTCTGGATATCAACCACTTTGACCCTTTGACCTTGACCTAGGAGTTTGATCTACTTTTGAAAAACTTTAACCTTGGCCATAACTTTTGAATGGTTGGAGCTAGGGCTTTCATACTTCACATATGTAATCCTTGCGACAAGACCTTCCTTTGGTTACCATCCACCACTTTGACCTTTTGACCTTGGCCTAGGAGTTTGACCTACTTTTGAAAAACTTTAACCTTGGCCATAACTTTTGAATGGTTGATGCTAGGGCTTTCATACTTCACATATGTAATCCTTGTGACAAGACCTTCCTTTGGATACCAACCACTTTGACCTTGATGTTTGACTTTTATTTAAAAAACTTTAACCTTCGCCATAACTTTTGAACAGTTGTATATAGGTCTTTCAAATTTCACAGGTGTAATCCTCGAGACAAGACCTTTCTTTGGGTATCAACATTTTTTATCTTTTGGCCTGGATTTTGACTTGCATTTGAAGAAACTTTAACCTTCACCATAAGCTGCCATACGGGGGCATCAGTGTTTCACAAACACATCTTGTTTTCATCTGTACATATTCTATTCAAAAACAAATTACTGACATAGAATTTGTTACATAAGACCTAGCTATGTTTTACTTCACTTACTAGTTGATATATCAATACTAAATCAAAAATAAAATTTTATCCAATGTTTTAATGATGCTGTTAACTCTTAATTAATTTACTAGGAAATGAGTTGATTTCATTTTGAATACTCAATTTCACTTCATTTGAATAAAAACTTTATCATATTTTTCTTAAAACTAGACAACAACTTTATAAAATAAAATTTGTAAAGTAACAAACTGGGAGAAGGTATTTTTTCCTGAATTTTGGGGGTTGTATGGTCTTTTGCAATTTGAAAAAATGTCGATAAAAAATCTCCAGCTTTGAGACTCAAACTCCAGCTGAAAAATTTCAAATCTCCAGTTGTGATTTTTCAGTTCTGTCACGTGTATGTACTTTGTCATATTTTTAAATATACATGTATTTCATCCTAAACAATGCAATGACCTTTTTCCAAATGTGCATTTTTATCAGCTGACTTTTGGATGACAGTTAACTTGATTGTGCTTAAGGTTGATAACACTTGGACCAGCGAGAGTACTATGAATAATCTGAATGACGTGTACCAGCACCACTGTGGAGGAGAATCTCTTAAGAAAGCCACCAGGGACGTGTTCGTGAAAGGTAGCATGGCAGATGTCAGGGAAATGTTTCAGGTGATTGTTCTTTTATGTGTTTATAATGTAAATAAAGAGAATGTTGGTTTATTTGAAAGAAAAGCTAAGATATCACACCAGAGATAAGTTACAATTCAGAAATAGTGAAAGTTTGCTGGTGTTTTGGTGTAATTGAATGTAGTACATGTACACACATTGAGAAGTAAAAAATTTCATTCTAGTCTTAACAAGGGCATAACATTGATTACACAAACCAATGTACCAGTAGTTTACTCAGTGATCTTGAGACAAAAATTTACAAACATTCTGTCTTCTTTTACTTCTGATAACAATTGTATTGATTCAACAGGAACTGTGTTCATATTGTGCTGGTGATGTGGAAGCAACTCTGCATGTTTTTAGAAAAGTCTGGCCACAATTTCTTGAGAGGTATTTTACTCAATGTCTAAATTTATAATAAGATTGGCTTAAAAAAACTTAATTCAGCACTGGTTTTTAAGTCATATATAATATTACTTGTTTTATATACAGTTGAACTTCGATATCTCGAACACCGACATTTCGAACACCATGGATATGTCAAAATGAATTGAAAGTCTCAACTTTGTATTTTTTAAGTATTTTACCCCCGATATCTTGAAGCCTCAGATATCTCGAAGTTTTTTCTCAGTCCCATCAAACTCAAGATAATGAGGTTTGACTGTACTTTATTTGATTTTAATAACATATTGAATGTACTAAATGTTCTGAAGATCACTGTAATGAATGAAGTGATATAATAAGGACATTGACAAAATCTTAAAATGTCTTTGTTTGTATAATACATATTGAAGATTCCCAAACCCAGTGACTCTATCAGGAATGATGGAGATGGGAACAGCCTACTTGCCTATCAATCAAAACTGGGAGAGGTACATCAACCAATCAGATGATGTATATGATGATCTTCAGAATGAGCTTTCTCGACTGCTCCAAAAGATAGCAAACGAGGCTTGTGAATTACTACACGATAACAGGTAATTGCAAATAAAGCACTCAGAGGAAAGTAATGAGGGTATGCTGGATGAATTTAACCCAGGGGATCACATTTGCCCTCTAGGCAAGTGTTGTCATAGAGAGCTGGAGAGATCCTTGATGGGATTTACAGATCTATAGTACGGTGTATAACAGATGCTTTTTATGTCTTGTCTTGATCAAAATATAAGTATTAAGGTAGATACAAAATTTGCCTTATTAGGGAAATGCTTCCCTAGTGGGCACTCAGTCTTGAGAAACTTGTATGTCTCAATACCTTTTCCAAAGTTATCATTTTTTGCATATGTAGATATGAAGATGACCTTTGGCTGTGGGATTTAGACTGGAGTGTTAATGAATATAAGCTAAACAAACCAAAAAAGAAGCCCAAGGACACTAATAAGGTAGGGAGATCCAGATTCAAAATTGACCTATAATTAACTTTGAAATTTTCTGACTTGAAGAAAATACTGTGGACAATAGTTGATTTAGTGTGCACCAGTAAAAATTCATAAATGATATTTTTTGAAGGCAAAAACACCAGAACAAGTGCTTGAAGAAATCCTGGAAACAAAAGACAGAATTCCTAAGGTTGGCCGTCATATGATTGGATATCCTGCGTAAGTGAAATTCTACAGTCCTGTAAATTCTACTACTCCAGAAGATTGGTAAACACATTGATAGTGAACGGTGACAACAATGAGCAATCTAAATGAGTGTGAATAGAAATCGAAAACTGAATTGTTTTGATTGAATTCTGATCTTGTACATTTCACTTAGAAGAGTGAGATGAGAACAGTGACTATGAGTTGTTGAACTAAGAGCAAACAATGAGCAAATTGAGTAAATGTTGAGTCAGTGGGGAGTGCAAAGTGTTAAAGCGTGAAAGAATGAGAGCAAATGTGAATGCTTAATCTGTGAATGAAAGTAAAAGAAAGGCTATAAAGTATGGGACTGGATTACACCTATGATTTACAATTAAACTGATTTGTCCACTGAGAAGTTTTTGTTAATAATGGTTTCTCTGCATTTTTCTTTAGATGGTATAGAGAGTTATGTCCCAAGAAGACAGCCAAAGACTGGAAGCCAGGTCCCTCCCTAATCACCACCTCGCGACGCATCACCCCCAAGCTCCTAAGAATGACCTACAAGGGCTACCCCCTACATTATGATTCCAAATTTGGATGGGGTTTTTTAGTTCCTGACAAACACAAGGCTGCAGCTGATAGACAGAAGTTAGCCATGGCTGAAGAGGATATGTCAAATTTCCCCATCATGTAAATTGTTATGAAGTGTTTTTGTTATCATGAATTTACATGCTTAAATTATTACTCATGTTGGAAGATAGTGTATAAATTATACCAATTGAGTACGAAAATAAATTTTAGGCATTTAACCCTTTCAACACTGTAGACCACCACAACGGTCTGATAAAATTTCTCCTTTCAACACGGTAGACCGTTGTGGTGGTCTCAGATAGAAAACTCAAAGTAAACATGTTTATTCTTAGAAATAGAAAGTATTCTCTGTGCAAAATCTTTCCCTATGAATTATGGATAGATTGATATAAACATCCGTTAACAAATATGGCGGACCACATGGCGAAAATCATAGAAAAATTAGGAAAATTGGATGAATCTTGAAGGAAACAAAGAAGAAAGCAAAATGGCAGTTAACATTGAAAAGTCCAATCTTTCTGACGACAAAAACTTATATAAAAACGGGGACTTAGACATTATGAATGTTCCTAGACAATAAAGATATGAGTAATAAGCAATGTCGTGAAAGGTAGTCGGAGAAACTTGACTTGGAATCGGACTATGAAGGCTCTGAGACGGAGCACGTTTTACGAAGTCCAGGACTTTTCTCAATATCCTAAAACACCATGTTTTATTTATTTATTTTTCCAGACTTATTTTTCAATAGATTATGACATATTGCATATCATTTTACTCGGGAATGATTTCTCTTTTAAACAATGGTAAGAACATGTGTGATTTTTGAAACTTCATAGCAGCAAATTTATCAAGATATTACATAGGATCATTTAAAATATAAAATAATAACTTTTATTAGAGCTTCTATCTTCTTAAATAATTTTGAATACATATAAATTTTATACCATCTGAAGGAGAAATGTCTTATCTTTCATATGATGTGTCATTTATTAAAATACTTAAAGAAATGAAGTTATTGAGATTTTTCTGATGGCAGTTGGATTTTCTAATGATGGCTAAAGTTACTCAGTGTACTGGGGGTTGGTTGATAAAAGTTAGTCAGTGTTGAAAGAGTTAATAATTGTGATTTGAAGAATTCTTGAAGCTGAAGGTTATCAGTGAATGTGTTTTTTTTATAGGCAAAAAGCCTGATTTTTCAGACATTGAGTTGATTTTTTTTCCTAACAGAAACTTATTCAAGATGTGTAAGGAATCTGTGTCTGAAGATTTACTGGTTCCCATGACTGACAATGAAATGGAGAAGATGTTAAACACAGCAAAAGATGACATGGAGTGGAATGAACGAGCTAAACATCTGGACGAGGCGGGCATCAAAAAACAAGCCAAGAAAAAAGACGATATCCTAGAGGTAAATATGAAAGTTTTAAGAAAATGGAGATTTCAACAGATTTAATTGCTAGTGTGATTAAATTTCATATAACTTAATATAAATTAACTAACAAGTGATATCTTTTTCATGTCACTGCAATGAATCTTTGTTCAACAGGTGAAAGAAACAAAGTATGATGTTGGGATTCCAGGCTGTTGGTTCCAAAAATTGCCTCACAAGGTACTGTAGAAATCATTTATACTGGGTGTACAGTGTCATTGTCTGACTGAGGTTGAAACAATCCTGTCCATATTGACATTTTAAATTTCTTCATTGTAAGAAAGTTTTATAAAAAAGTCATTTTTATACTCTAAAGAAAAATGTTTGAGAAACATCAGGATAAACTCAAATGGAAGGATCATGATTGAACCATTTTGATTCAATGTTTATAGGATGGCAAAGGAAGCAATGTGGGTAACCCGCTGTCAAAGGACTTCCTTCCCCTAATAGAGACCGGTGTTCTGAAGTCCCTTTTAGTGACAGCAGAGACTGTACTGAAACTGACCAAGATGTGCTCCTACTGGCAGAAAAACAAAGACAGAATCTCGTCAGTATAGGATTAAGATCTCATTAGTAGGATCAAGTTGATTAGATTAAATGCTTTAAGACATTTTTAAGGACAATGTATAACTCAAATTTGTATAACTCAAATTTCTGGTGAATGTGTTGGGTAAAAAAAATATGAAATCAAATCAAATGAAGAAAAATGATGAACATATAAATACAGAGGATTGTTTGGACATGCACTTATTGTTTATAAAGAGTTTGTTAATAATTTACAGGGGACAGATGGCAGTGATCCTGAATGAAGAAGATCTACCAGACACTGTTACAAGGTACAAAAATCACTGATTTCTCTTTTCACGGAACTTTAATGGAACAAACGTAAGATTATGTCTTTAAAGACCCAATTTTTTTACCGTACGGTTACCTGAGAAGAGGGAGTGGTCTTATTAGTACAGATGTTATTTACCTGGAGTGCCCTAATACTCAAGATGCCAAAAATTCATATACACATTGCATTATACAGGAAGTCTTTATGGTGATCATGGCCAACATTACACACGTTTCTTGTCTAATTCTGAGTGAAACAGTGGTGAAACCAAATAATGCTTTTGCACGAACTTGATAATCTCAACATTTTCATCGAATATTTTGATAAAAAAAAATATCATGAATAAAGAAATATCCTTTTACTAAAAATTATATTAAAAAAACTAGAGTGTAAGCTACAAAGCAACCATATCAATGATTTTTTAATTGTCAGTAAAAAATAATTACAAGGTATATTGTACGTGTAAATATTGAAAAAAAGTTCCATTTCTCTTCAGTACATTAACAATCTAGAAATTATTGATTTCCCTGGCCGACACTGGTGCCCACGATGTTCATTTACGAATAAGGAATTTAGAGGAAATCCGAACTATGATTTTGACATTTCTTCCACTACGTGGTGAAGAATTATTGCCAATTTTTGTAATCTAAATTTCTTAAATAAAAATAAATGCCATCCGAAGATAGTGCAATTTAAAAATAGTCCCCAATTTATTGTACACGAAATACAATATTTACGTAACATGTGTACCATTTGTGAGTTTTTTTTAAACATCTGCTTTTACAGATAAAACCTGTGATAATATAAAAGGAATCTTCATAATTTTCAAACTTATTTCATGCAATCAGTGTCTAATTATCTTCTGTCAATTATTTTATTCCATTTTGTGTTGATTCATTTTATTGGGGGGGGGGGGGGGGTCGCTATATTGTTACTGAATTGAGTTTCTGTGGACCCAAGCGACAAATCAAGTGGGGCACAGAAAAGAGGTTGTCGCGTAGTCAGGTAATTGTTATCGAAACATCCTATCTCGGAACATCAGGTAGCACCGGTAGCTGCATGGCCTGTCAATCAGATCAGTAGCTATCGTTTTATTTATGATTGACAGGCGGTATATTATTGATCTTGAACCATGTAGATTTTGGGGGCGTTAACATAAAATTGGGTGTTTAACTGTGCAACATAAATACACATGTAAGAATATATGTGTACAGTCTTGGGAGAAATTTTTGATGCACAAATATTGCATGCAAGGCAGTTAAAAAGAGAATGTCATCTGCAATTCAACTTATGTTTATGTTTTAAGATTGCATGCAAGGCAGTTAAAAAGAGAATGTCATCTGCAATTCAACTTATGTTTATGTTTTAAGATGTACCTATTGGTTAAAGATATCCATAACTACATGTATTATAAGATTGAATACTTCCCAGCTCTCTAATTGCAGACCTGCCAACTTTCTGCTTTTGGTGTAATTTTTCAGCTTTTTACACCTAAAATATGCTGTTATGCCATAACATTCAATTTTGCGCTTTTAAAATTTTTATGCTTAGAAGTTGCATTATTTTAATTCAGTAACAATTCTTACAAATTGCACTTTAAAAAAGCATAAACTTCTGATATTTTTATCACATTTTACTTACCTTCTGATTTTAATATTGAGCTGTTATGGCTCCTAAATGTAATGCCAAAGAAGCAGATGAAAAAGACTATGTACTGTAGATCACATAATATTTACAACACCTTTTCTCCATGAGATTTATAAGTGAGAAAAAGTTTTTTTTTACAAATGCTATATATCCCCTGCCAATAAACAGGTTGGGGAGAAACGTAAATTCTGCTATAATAGTGGTATATCACTATTATAGAGAGATTCCGCTATATTTTCAGCCGTATTTATCCTCGATTTCATCAAATAACATGCTTGCTGTTTAAAGCACAAGTCATGGTGGGTATAAAAATGGACATTAATTGGCACCCTTACATGTTATGAATTTTATTTAATTTTCTGCCGATGCGTTTAATAATGCAAACACACTTTTTAAAATGGAAGTTACATTTTTAACATAGCAACCAGTGATTTCGATGGTATTCAAGCAAGACTGAATCTCAATTTCTCTCACACATGTGCACAAATTAATGCTTGTAATAATTTTCAAGCAGCATTGAAAGAGGTTTGTCCAATTTACAGAAGAAAGGATGATTTGTGTCTGCATGGTAATGGGTATGGAGGCCCGTTGTGACAAATGAAAAAAAAACTCATTACATGTATACTTTATTCTGGTTGAACCGATTGATATAGATCGTAAACAATCTATAAGATGTCATTTCTACAGGTAATCCCAAGTATATTGTTTCTTTTCTTGATGATGAAACCAGAAGTTCAAACGATTAGTCTTATTCGGAAAAGACAAATTTTTTCTTGCATGGAATTACTTGTAGAAGTGACATTTTACATGAATAAATTTGGCACAATTTATTTATTGTCTAAATTGCTTGAAATTTTTACTACATTCTGTACTAAAAAAGGCTATGAAATCTTAATCAAAACTATAAAAGAATTAGATTATTTCTGCAACAAGAAATGAAAAAAAGGAGAAAAACTTTGTAATTTGAGAATTTAAACAAGTACTTTCAATGAAATATGAAGATATAGAACAGTAATCAAGCTCAAAAGGCCATTGATACAATATAAATTTTGAGCAGAGCAAACACGAACCTCTGAAATCAGCAGCCATGGAGGGATAAGCAACCCCCCCCCCCCCCCCCCCGTTGACCGGTCACACCCGCCTTGTGCTGTTTGTCGTAATCATATAAACAGAAAAATCCATAGTCAATTCAAGATGAAAATTTCGCATGAAAGTCGTCGGTCAACATTCGACCCAACTTGTCAGATTGTATTTGCATATAAGCCTGTCATAGTATTGACCATGGGATTTGCGAAGTGTTGACTTCAAACGAGATTTCAGAATACCCTTGATTCATTATTTGTCAGAAGCCTGCTTCGTTTTAAAATTGTTCGGACGGAGAACATGCTCTTGCGTATATTAAATCAACTGTGAGACGGAAACCCCATATGCAGGTAAAAATGGTTATTCCTACATAACTAAGGGAAGTTGACGATAGAAAAGTTGAGGTCATCAGGTTTATCATAAAGTTTGTTGTTGGTTTGCCATCAATCTCTTTCTCCTATATCCAAATATGAAGTAGTTCTGTCATACTCCGTGGTGTCTTTTATCACTAATTATAAACGTACTTTTATTTTTGGAAAGTGCAGCTACATTTCTTGAAATTTTTGTTGGATGAAAATGTAATATGAATAAATAGGGCTGGGTATTGGTTGGAAAATTCGTATTGCGATATATTGCGATATTAGGAACTGTATTGCAATATGTATTGAAATATTTTTAACAGTTTAATGCATTTTTCTTATCTTATTAACCTCCATTTAAAAGCAGAGTGTATAAAACTTTTATAAATACGTTTTAGCAAAGAAAAAGTTATAGTTTATTTCACTACAGTTTGGCAACGAATGTAACCACACAACAGAAACCTTTACTGTTTGCACGTTTCTGACATCTTTAATTCATGTTTTACTTTATAACTCTAAATCCCAAGCATTTTGTCGGCATATCGGTACTGGAAAAACGTATCGCAATACAATATATTTTGTTAACGAATCGCAATATACCGGAATATCGATATTAATGCATAGCTCTATGAATAAATTAATCATTAAGTACTTTTATTCTTCATATAACGATTTATTGCAATTGAACTATACATAATCGGTTCAATCAGAATAAAGTATACATGTAATGAGTTTTTTTTTCATTTGTCACAACGGGCATCCATACCCATTACCATGCAGACACAAATCATCCTTCTGTAAATTGGACAAACCTCTTTCAATGCTTCTTGAAAATTATTACAAGCATTAATTTGTGCACATGTCTGAGAGAAATTGAGATCCAGTCTTTCTTGAATACTACCGAAATCACCAGTTGCTATGTTAAAAATGTAACTTCCATTTTAAAAAGTATGTTTGCATTATTAAACGCATCGGCAGAAAATTAAATAAAATTCATAACATGTAAGGGTGCCAATTAGTGTCCATTTTTATACCCACCACGACTTGTGCTTTAAACAGCAAGCATGTTATTTGATGAAATCGAGGATAAATATGGCTGAAAATATAGCGGAATCTCACTATAATAGTGATATACCACTATTATAGCGGAAGTTACAATTCTCCCGTACCTGATAAAAGTGAGAATAAACTTTTTGTGAGCAGACCATCTTGCGTAATTACACCAAAATAAAGTTCTAACAAATAAAAAGTGATTTACAGTATTAATCTATTAAATGATACATGTATGTGCAATGTCTAAGTTGTGATAATTGCATTTGTTTACCTGCATTTGACCTTCCAGATAAACTTTGAAAATATCAAGAACTTCCAGTTTGATACAATTAGTTATGAAAAGTATATTCACCTGCACCCTACCTTCCAGATGAACTTAACATTTATTTATAGCTCACCTGAGCCGAAGGCTCAAGTGAGCTTTTCTGATCAAATTTTGCCCGTTGTCTGTCGTTGTCGGCATTGGTGTTGTCGTTGTAAACTTTTCACAATTTCATCTTCTTCTCCAGAACTACTGGGCCAATTTCAAATAAACTTGGCACAGAGTATCCTTGGGTGAAGGGGATCCAATTTTTTTTCAAATGAAGGTTCACGCCTTCCTCCAAGGGGAGATAATTATGTAATAGCGAAAAATTAATGTCATCATTGAAAAATCTTCTTCTCAAGAACCAATGTGCAAGGAAAGATGAAACTCATATGGAATCATTGTCAGGTAGTGTAGATTCAAGTTTCTTCAAATCATGACCCCCGGTAGTAGGATGGGGCCACAGTGGACAATCAAAGTTTTACATAGGAATATATAGGAAAATATTTAAAAATCTTCTTCTCAAGAACAGCAATGCAATGATTGGTCATATTTATGTGAAAGCATCCTCAAGTGGTGTAGATTCAAGTTTGTTCAAATCATGACCCCCAGGGGTAGGGTGGAGCCACAATGGACGATCAAAGTTGAACAGAGGAGTATATAGGAAAAATCTTCAAAAATCTTCTTCTCAAGAACAGCAAAGCTATGATTGGTCATATTTATATGGAAGCATCTTCAGGTGGTGTAGAATCAAGTTTGTTCAGATCATGACCCCCAGGGGTAGGGTGGGACCACAATGGACGATCAAAGTTTTACATAGGAATATATAGGAAAAATCTTCTCTTTTTTTCCCTCTTTTATTGATATAGGAAAAATCTTCAAAAATCTTCTTCTCAAGAACAGCAAAGCCATGATTGGTCATATTTATATGGAAGCATATGAAATAAAGAAACCGTGAATAAGTTTCCAGTAACCTCCATGTTTTATTTGGAAATATGAGAATAGACTACGATAGGTATATATACGTGCAGTACATGGTCATTTCAGTTATTACTAAGAGTACAATGATAAACCGTTTGACAGTATATCGCGATATATTTTTCAACAATTCAATTCACGGTATGCTAAACTGATATTGCAGTTCGGTTCAATCGGTCCAGAATTATTTGACCATCCATTTTGTTTTCTTGTTTACAATTTCAAAATGGCTTCCGGGCAAAACATGAGGTCAGCAATAATGCCTTAACGGCAGTTAAACTCATCTCCAGCATCTTGCAGACCTCAGATTTAACACGGTGAAGGACTTAATCTCATTCCTAATGTGATTAAAAGTTATACATGTTAAGACAAGTGATAAACCCTTTAGATCTAAACGTATACTATAGTAATACACGATATCTCATCACGCTTGTATTTCGATGAAAATTCGCTGTCTTGTTGACTAAAATGTGTTAACACGATAAAGATGACAAATGGTTTTCTACGTAAATAAAAGGAATAAAAGAATAAATATCTTCCTTTCTCATTCCAATTTAAAAGAAGGATATGAGGAAAGGTCCCCATAGTTCCCTGCAAATGTTCGTCATTGGTTTAGAATATTGTCACAACTCAAAGAACTACCTATCAATCCAATTCAAGTTAACAAATTGATATTTAAAGTATTATCAAAAAATATGAAAATTTGGTATAACCCTGTCAAGTTTAAAAAAATATATTTACATTTCCAATAAATTTCCCCTGTGATTTTTTACAAAATAGAATACAGTTCATTTTTTCATGAACTACCGTGAATGAGTATGAATATCTCCATTGTTACGTCATAATACCTTACTTGACGTCAAAACTACAGTGCAAACTGTTTTGCTTTAAAAATGAAAATTGAATGGCATTTGTGGCAAATCATCATAAAAATAATGTAAATATAAGAAATGAATTTAATTTTTAAAAATTCATGAGGTTCATGAACTACATGATTATGATTTATCCACCCTCAAAGTACAATATTCACCTCGTCCTTCTGGCTCTGTGAATATTGTACTCCTATTCACCTCGCCCTTCTGGCTCTGTGAATATTGTACTCCTCAGGTGGACAAGTCATTGTATTGACGTTAAAAACAGCAATAATTGTATATTGACTGCATGGGTGAGGAATGTATATATAAATGCAGATTCCTGAGAATGAATTGGATAAGGGGTCAATCTGAAGGAGAGATTATGTATATTAGTATGTATTTTCAGTGACCCAAGTTACGACGTTAATGATGCCTATGGAGCCATCATTCCAAGGGTTATATTTGCCGGAACCATTACAAGGAGAGCTGTGGAGAAGACTTGGATGACAGCAAGCAATGCTTATGTAAGTAAAGGACAAATTCAGTATATCTAGAGCTACTTATCAAATATAAAGTATGATTAAATTGTTACCAGAAAAAAATTTAACAAAATGAAATTGTTTATCATACTGCATGCTTTTGTTGAGTCAAAGTATCTTTCCTGTCTCTTGCATGGTTATGATAGATTCTTATTTTTGTAAAAAAAGTAATGAACTATTTCATATTGGAATAAGAAAATACAATATAATACATTGTCAGTTAAGGAACAATGCAAGTAATTTGAAGGCAGACTTATATAGCCAATGTTTATCAGAGACATCAATGTGTGAACACTGTATCGATTCTGTTGAAGATGCTTACCATTACTTTTTCGCGTGTTCAAAATATACATCTTATAGAGATATACTTTTTCAGACAATTCAAAATATCATTGACTGTAATCAGGTTTCTGAACTTAAATTATTATTATATGGTAGTCCTGATCATGGACTCAATATTAATATACAAATTTTTGAAGCAGTACATGCATATATAGCAGCAACAAAACGTTTTACTTGAACACTGTCATGTAAATGTATATACATGTATAACTTTTGTCAATTTTTCCAAGCCGGCACTTCATTGTATTTTTTCCCCGTTTTTTTTTCCTTCGCATTTTTTAAATGTTTGTTTAATTAATGTAATGCAGTGTATTTACCTTGACCTTGCTGTAGGGAGAGGGCTAAAATAGTCTATGCCTGCTGCCTAATCCCATTCACTTTATGTGAATGAAATTATGTATAAATAAAAAAAAAATAGATTTATAAAAGAAGGTTTAGATGAAAAGCCATTTAAGAACTATGTGATCTTGCAGATTGACAGGGTGGGTAGTGAAATGAAGTCAATGATCCAGTCTCCCCCAGGGTACCATTTCGTGGGGGCTGATGTTGACTCTCAGGAGCTGTGGATTGCAGCCATTATTGGTGACTCCAAATACAAGATACATGGTAGGTGATATTTAAATCATTGTGAAGCTTCCTTTCTAGAATACAAAGTATATTGAGCAACATTTGCTTTTTGTTGATTTAAATATAAAGTTACATGTACATCCCATGCACATGTATATATCTCCTTATAAACCTGTAAAGAATCACTAAAATGTTATGGGAAATAATGAATAATGTTTAGAATATGAAATATTTTAAAATATTTGATCAAGTGTAACATCATTTTATAGTCTATATTGTTCATTAAGTGCTCTACTTATTTTCCTTTATATACATGTAGTTAATGAAATTTTAGCTTTGAACCTGTTTTAGGTTCTACCCCATTTGGCTGGATGACACTACAAGGAAATAAAAATGACAAAACAGACTTACACAGTAAAACAGCGGAGACTGCTGGAATCACCAGGGACCATGCTAAGGTGTGACACTCATTGACAAAACTGGGATCTCATAGTTATTTAAGATTGCTCTGTTTTTACAGGGATTTTTAAGGCAGCTGACATTTATAGCAAGTCTGTATACTCCTTTCATAGGTATAATTTACAATCTTTCATCTTGTCTGTTAAATTGATTGAAGTATTCATTTACAAAAAGGATGCCTGAAAAATAATTGGATGTAAAATTCAAAAAAAGTTGGGTTTTTTTTAAATGTTGATAGTTTAGAATTCTTTTTAGTTGCATAAAGTTTCATTTTTCATTCGAAGTTTCTCTATAATGAAACTTTTTATATATACCAAAATAATGTCTTATTTAAGGAATAACTGTCTAATTTTTTGGATTCATAATGTGATCAATCGAGTGGCTTGCGTGATAATTTGCAGAAACGCCGAAGGCGTTTATGCATAAAATTATCACGCAAGCCAATCGATTGATCATCGTCATGAATCCAAAAAATCTTACAGTTATTCCTTATATTTACATGCTCCTGATTCTGCAAATTCCCATGCTAGTAGCCCCGCGTCTGTCTCTATTTGTCCCGCCCCGCACGTGATTTTTTTTAACCGCACCTATCGATGAACCAGTAGATTTATGTAGAAATAAAGTATTTTTACAATTTGTAATTTTATCTCCGACAAAGACATTGGAAATGTAAATATAAAGTGATAAAAAATGTTTAGATTTACAAAAGAAAGAAATTGAACATTATAGAAAGTCTAAAATATTTGATTTCATTCATTATAATTTAGCAACTCAAATTCTATCCATTGCATTATCTGCATGTTGATTGTAGTGAAAGCGAATCTTAAAATTATTGTGACGTTATGTTTTTTTGGAAGTCAGGACAGCATCATTACGCCACAATAAATCATTCTACTAATCAGAATCAAAATTGATAGTATTGTGGGAAAACTCTCTTTGCCAGTCAATAGTTAAAATTAAATGACCGTCAATATTTTTCGGAGGTGTATGAAAAGATTATAGAGACTATTTTTTACTAAATATAACGAGTCTTTTTATGCCCCCAGATCGAAAGATCCCAGGGGTATATTGTTTTTGTCCTGTCTGTCTGTTGTCAATTTAACCTAGCCCATAACTATTGCGCTGTCAAGGGTAAGGTTTTAATATTTGACATGAGTGTTCATTATGACAAGACCTTTCCAATTGGTACAGAAATTTTGATCATGTGTCCTCAACTGTGACCTTTGACCTACATTTGAATAACTTCAACATTGGCCATGCATAACTACTGCACTGTAGTCTACGTCCCACTCCAGAATTGTGTTACCATCGGGGTCATAATGTTTCACAAACACATCTTGTTTCATTTGTATCATCTATTCTTAAAGGCTGAGATTTTTAACTGTACTGTTTTCTCTGTAAGGGGAGGGACTTAATTTTACATGCTTGGTACCCGGAGGCATTAATGATCGTGCAGATAGCGCAGAGTGCTTATCCCTATACACCAACAGTATACACAGGAAGTCCATGAGTATTACCTGTACAGCTTGTTTGGCCTATGTTTTATCAAGAGATGAAATTAGTAGATCTTAACATTGATAGAAAATATCATAATAATAGCTAATATTTGTAAAATTCCATAATTTCATTTTTAGCTCACCTGAGCCGAAGGCTCAAGTGAGCTTTTCTGATCACATTTTGTCCGTCTGTCCGTCTGTCTGTCTGTCTGTCCGTCCGTCTGTAAACTTTTCACATTTTCGACTTCTTCTCAAGAACCTCTGAGCCAATTTCAACCAAACTTGCCACAAAGTATCCTTGGATGAAGGGGATTCAAGTTTGTTCAAATGAAGGGCCACGCCATCTTTCAAGGGGAGATAATAAAGAATTAGTGAAAAATTAACAGCATCTTTTAAAAATCTTCTTCTCAAGAACCACAAAGCCAGGGAAGATGAAACTCATGTGGAAGCATCCTCAGGTAGTGTAGATTCAAGTTTGTTCAAATCATGACCCCTGGGTGTAGGGTGGGGCCACAGTGGAGGATCAAAGTTTTACATAAGTATATAGGAAAAACCTTTAAAAATCTTCTTCTCAAGAACAGCAAAGACATGATGAGTCATTTTTATATGGAAGCATCCTCAGGTAGTGTTGATTCAAGTTAGTTCAAATCATGACCCCCGGGGGTAGGGCGTGGCCACAATGGAGGATCAAAGTTTTACATAGAAATATATAGGAAAAATCTTTAAAAATCTTCTTCTCAATAACAGCAAAGCCCTAATTGGTCATATTTATATGGAAGCATCCTCAGGTAGTGTAGATTCAAGTTTGTCCAAATCATGACCCCTTGGGGTAGGACGGGGCCACAATGGAGGATCAAAGTTTTACATAGAAATATATAGGAAAAATCTTTAAAAATCTTCTTCTCAATAACAGCAAAGCCCTAATTGGTCATATTTATATGAAAGCATCCACAGGTAGTGTAGATTCAAGTTTGTTCAAATCCTGACCCCCCGGGGGGTAGGGTGGGGCCACAATGGAGGATCAAAGTCTGAAATAGAAATATATAGGAAGATATCTTCTGATGAAGAACTGCAAAGCCATGATTAGTCATTTTGATATGGAAGCATCCTCAGGTAGTGTAGATTCAAGTTTGTTAAAATGATGACCCCAGGGGATAGGGATGGGCCATAATGGGGGATCGAAAATTTTACATAGGAACATATAGGAAAATATCTTCTTCTCAAGAAATGAAAATCATGTTTAGTCATTTTGATATGGAAGCATCCTCAGGTAGTGGAAATTAAATTTTGTTCAAATGATGACCCCCGAGCGTAGGGTGGGGCCCAATAGGGGGATCAAAAGTTTTACATAAGAACATATAGAAAAAAATTCCTTCTCAAGAACAGAAAAGCTATGTTTAGTCCTATTGATATGGAAGCATCCTCAGGTAGTGTAGATTTAAGTTTGTTCAAATGATGACCCCTGGGATAGGGAGGAGCCACAATGGGTGATCAAATTTTTACAAAGGAATATATGGGAAATTTTTTTTAAAATCCTTTCAAGTACAACAAAGCCATTTGTTATATTGACATGGAAGCATCATCGGGTAGTTTAAAATTCAAGCCCCCCCCCCCCCCTCCCCCCTTAATCTTTTCAATACTGAACTGATTTGTGCTTTTGCCTTGCCAATATGCTCAGGTGAGCGATGTGGCCCATGGGCCTCTTGTTATAATTAATGTCAAACAAACAGAATTGTCATAGATTTTTGTAAAAATGTATGTACCTTATACAGTGTTATACTGTTATATCATTGAGTTCGTTAAAATTAATTATTTCAGGTTAATTTTATACAGTTATGGAATGGGTATGAGGGAGATAGCAAATTTATGGTTCCCTGAGGGAGGAAACTATTTCCGGAGGCAGTGAAAATTTTGTTAGATATCTAATACATCAGTATCGAGGAAAATAATAACATGTTTGAATATTATTTCGTAGATATTTTAAAGAATTATCCTGATCGTCATTTTGCTGTAAATCCAGTATGATTTTGACATCGCAAGTCGAAATGTTTTGATGTCATAGTTGCATTGCTAATAACATTATCTCACAGACTCGAGATTCCTTGAACGCTCCACCCACTAAGCATTTTGATTGGTTAAAAATAGTTATGAATATTAATGAGGGAGTATTTCCAGGGAGTAGCTCTGATTTTACAGGGAGTAGTCCTCAGATGGGGGAAGTAGTGCCGTCTCAGGGAAATAGACAGTTTTATGGTATTCATTTTATATAGAGTAATAACAGTAGAGGTATATAATAATAAAAAGTAAGATACTAATCCTTGCCTGTTCCTTTCAATTTTTTTTTAAAACTATTATTATCGTAAAAAGCATTTGAGCTTCAATCATGGCCATATTTAGAGTTATTCCCGTTTGTATGAAAAGTCCTGTGGTCCTTCTTTAAGCAAATCATCCCTTTGGTGAAAAAAAATTTGCGAGAACGCCGATTTCAGAGTTGCAATATTTATTCAAGTTAATTTGAATTATACATGTAGTTAAAACAATTTTAAAATGAAATCTATATTAGTTGTTAACATTTGTATTTCTATCAAAAAATGTTTTTAATACTCCACGTGGCAAGAAATGCTGGGTAGAAAAAAGATGAAGAAAACCTCAATACCTTGTCAAGGCAAAGTTGGCACTGTATCGGACTTTTTGCTTTCATCCTCAATATCCGATCATTTATAACCATATACAATATTTTATTTTCTTCTCTAGTTTCATCATAATTTTTCACAAACTTGTCTCAAGAAAAATAAATGAATAAAATTAAATCTACTAGTAAATTTTAATCTCCTATGTAATCATATTGTGCTTTGAACCGAAATTTACTAACACGTATAAGAAAAAAAAAGAAGTTATTATACACAAGCATGCTTTATCCTACTGAATCATTATAAGATAAAATTACTTTTCATGTGTATGTACTACAAATATTTATATCCAAGCTAAAATGTTTGTATTGATACGGCTTTTTTATAGCGCTGGTATATCTGCGGCAAACATCAAAAGACCGAAAGTTTTTTTGTTGCTCACCACAAGTGCCAAACAAGGTGTACAAGTAATACACAAGGACTAGTAACTAAATGTCAATTTCAAGCACCCAATGATGGACCTTAAATCACTTGATTGACTGGGGAATACAGACCAGGTAAATCAGAAGGTGGTGCTCGTTATCTCGGGCTTTGATATGATTTTGATCCTTGTAGATTTTAAACTATGGTCGCATTTATGGAGCTGGGCAGAAGTTTGCTGAGACTCTGCTAATGAATTTTAATCACAATCTGACCCCAATAGAAGCAGCTGCTAAAGCTAAGAAACTGTACGAAACAACCAAAGGAAAAAGGTAGGCAGCAAGGATACTTGTTTGTAAATATGACAAAAAAAATATAGTATAGCACAAAAGTTATACTGATGTTAAAGAAATTTCTGAATTTTTAGCTCACCTGAGCTGAAAACTCCAGTGAGCTTTTCTGATCTCCCATTGTCTGGCACCTGTCCTTCTGTCCATCCATCTTTCTGTCTAGCAGTCTGTCTATTCATCCATCTGTAAACTTTTCACATTTTCAACTTCTTCTCAAGAACCACTGGGCCAGTTTTAACCAAAGTAGGTACAAAGCATTCCTTGATGAAGGGATTATAAACTGTTAAAATGAGGTGCTAAGCCCCCTTTCAAGGGGAGAAAATCAAAAAAAGGTGAAAATAGGGTGGGGTCATTAAAAATCTGAGCTAAAGGCTCAAGTGAGCTTTTCTGATTGAAATTTGTCCATTGTCTGTCATTGGTGTTGTCATTGTAAACTTTTCACAATTTCATCTTCTTCTCCAGAACTACTGGGCCAATTTCAACCAAACTTAACACAAAGTATCCCTTGGGTGAAGGGGATTCAAGTTTCTTCAAATGAAGGGCCACTCCCTCTTCATAGGGGAGATAATTAAGAAATAGTGAAAATTTGGTGGCATCTTTTAAAAATCTTTCCAAGAACCACTTGGCCAAAAAAGTTGAAACTTATGTGAAACCTTCTTTACATAGTGTAGATTTAAGTTTCTTCAAATCATGACCTCCAAGGGGTAAGGTGGGACCACAATGGGGGATCAAAGTTTCACATGGGAAATTAGGAATATATAGGAAAAAATTTTCTTCTAGAGAACAGCAAAGTCATGTTTAGTCATATTTTTTATGGAAGCACCCTCAAACAATGTAGATTCAAATTTGTTCAAATCATGACCCCCAGGGATAGGGTGGGGCCACAATGGGGGAACAAAGTTTCACATAGGAATACAATGTATATAGGAAAAATCTTGAAAAATTTTCTTCTCAAGAACAGCAAAGACATGATTAGTCATATTAATATAGAAGTATCCTCAGGTAGTGTAGATTTAAGTTTGTTCAAATCATGACCCCTAGCCTGGGGGTTGGGTGGGGCCACAACAGGGGATCAAAGTTATAAGAAAAGAATACATGTATAAGGGATATTTCAATACATGTAAAATATTTCTTCTCAAGAACATCAAAGCCAGTTTTATTAATTAAGAAGCATCCCAGGTAGAGTATTTTCAGATGTGTGCCAATCATGTCCCTGGAGGTAGGACAAGGCCTCAATAGAAGATCAAATGTAGGAACTGCATTATTTAAACTTTTCAATATTGAACTGATTTCTGCTTTTTCTTAGCCAAAGTGCTCAGGTGAGCAATGTGGCCCATTGGCCTCTTGTTATTGATGCTTTCTGAGGTGTAGAATGTGAACTGTTAATATCCTGGGGTAGGGGTGGGGCCACAATAGGGAATCAGAGTTTTACATTACTTAAGAAAAAATCTTCTCAAGAACCACAAGATCAGAAAAGCTTAAATGTACGTGGAATCTTCCTGAGGTAATGTAGATTCTAAGTTGTTCAAATTATGGCCCCTAGAGGTAGGGTTGGGCTGCAGTAGGGAATCATAGTTTTACATCGAAATACGTAGGAAAAATCTTTAAAATCAACTCTTCAAGAACCACATGACCAGTAATGCTTAAATGTATGTGGAAGCTTCCTGAGGTAGTGCAGATTTTAATTTGTTCACATTATGGCCACCAGGGGTAGGGTTTGGTCTTAATAAGGAATCAAAGTTCAACATTGAAATACATTGGGAAAAGCTTTAAAAATCTTCTCAAGAACTACTGGACCAGAAAAGTTTTATCTTATATGGAAGCTCGCTGAGGTAGTGTAGATTCTAAATTGTTCAAATCATGGCCTCTGGGATAAGGGTGAGGCCACAATAGGGAATCAAAGTTTTACCTGAAAAAACCAAGTAAGGTGGCAACAATGCATTAAGTGCACAAGATGAATATTCTGAAACTTAATATTTTAAAATATTTTATAGGGTCAAATTTTCAAGGTTTGAGGGAAAAATATGGATTTATGGGGATTTGATTTTGTGGCTGAAGAATTGTTGCATAGTTATGTATCAAATTATATTTTGTGGTGGACACGAAATTGTGGATCGATCTCTTCATACCTGGAAAACAACGAAAATTTGTGATTTCATAGTACATGATATGCACATGGTTTTCATCTATGTTTTCAGTTCTTTCAGGTTTTGGGTATACATGTGCATGTATTTATATTTCTAAAATTTCAGGAAACGTGATCTGAGGCAGTGGGAAGGAGGGACGTAAGTAGAGATCAATTATTTCATATTGTTTATAATGAGAGTGTTTTTATAAGTAAAAAAAATTCTGAAAATTGATTCAAATATTTGTGTTGTAAATCAGTCAAAAATGTAAATATAATTTACAAGGTATCAATTTAATAAACTTTTATGGGTATATACAGTTGAACTTCGGTATCTCGAACACTGATATCTCGAATACCATGGATATATCAAAATGATTTGGAAGTCCCAGCCACTTATTCTTTAAGTATTTTACCCCTGATATCTCAAATCCTCGGATATGTCGAAGTTTTTTATCAGTCCCATGGAGTTTGAGATAACAAGGTTTGACTGTACACATAAGTTGGTATTTGATCAGATCTACTAGCATGAATGAAATTGGATTATTTGACCAACCCATATTAATATCTGGATTATTTCTGAAATATAGTTCAGTTTACTTTCCATTCAGTACATGGACATATAAGATATGAAATGTGATATAATCTGTTGTCTTTAAATATATATAAGAATGCCAAAAAGTAGAGTGCTAAATGCCTCATTTTATTTTTTTACTTACATGCCCTCAACTTATGCTTCTTTTTAAAAACGAAAATTAATTCATTCTTTTAAGATCCTACAATGCAGCTATTGTCATGCCATTTCTTCTATCATGTAGAAATACACATTTTCAACAAAAAAATCTTAAAAAACTGACAAATGATAGCTAATTACATTCCCCAGTTTGGAGCAAAATATGAGGCTTATGTATTTATGTGTATAATCCTATAATATGATATTCAGGTATTTACAAAATTATGATAATGTAAAGGCAAAACCTCACTATTAAGCTTAGTAAAGATTAAAATAACAAACTCGTACATTTTCTGATAGGGAAAGTGTGATGTTCAACATGTTGGAATCGATAGCCAGGTCCCCCTCTCCAAAGACGCCAGTACTGAGTGCCTCCATCAGTAAAGTGTTAGAACCAGAGGTTATAGGAGATGAGGTAAGTAAGCCAGGTTCTATGTAATATGAAAAATTAATGAATGGTGTCATACAAATTAGTTACATACAAATGAACTTCGGTATCTCGAACACTGATATCTCGAACACTTTGGATATGTCAAAGTGATTTCGAAGTCCCTACTGCTTATTCTTTAAGTATTTTATCTCGAATCCTCGAATACCTTGAAGTTTTTTCTTGGTGCCTTTGAGATAACAAGGTTTGACTGTACCTAACAGTATCATTATTGACTAATTTCAGTTCATGACAAGTCGTATTAACTGGGTGGTACAGAGTTCAGCTGTGGATTACCTGCACCTGATGTTGGTGTGTATGAACTGGCTCTGTAATCAGTACGATATTGATGCCCGGTTTAGCATCAGTATCCATGATGAGGTTCGGTACCTGGTGGCCAGTAAGGACCGGTACAGGGCAGTTCTAGCTTTACACATCACAAACCTCCTCACCAGGTGTATGTTTGCTCATGCTCTAGGAATGAACAATTTACCTCAGGTAAAAATTAAAATACTGTAAGTTAGAACCCCAATCAGGAACCATAAAACATTCCATTTATCTTCTGCAAGAGTTGGAAATGTAACGAGCCATTAAGAATGATTACACAATATATGATGATGCAGTTTTATCCTATGGATCCCTTTTTTTTACAGTCAGTGGCCTTCTTTAGCAAAGTAGATATAGATCAGTGCTTAAGGAAGGAAGTGAACCTGGAGTGTCGAACTCCCTCCAACCCTAGTGGTATGGAGAGAGCCTACAATATCCCCATGGGTAAGTCTACATTTACTGCTTTACTGCTGTCCACTAAAGCAATCCACCTCTGATCAATAAATTTTTCTTGGTCCAACAGTAAGTGGTGTACATTGTTTGCTCAATGAAACAACCGTGTTTAAAAGAAAGGAACAAATGTTGTGTATCTGTTGTGGTATTGATGCATATAAGAGGGCATTCAGAGAGTGCATATTTGCCAACCAGACTTTTTAGATCATTATGTAAGTAGTTTCCAGAACAGATCCTGATGCAATTTCTTCTATAGGGTAGATATTGCACATACATCATCTAACGGATTAAAATGTACCGGTAGGTATGCATATTTGAGTTATCTTTCTTTGTTTTATTGCATGAAATGTAGCCACATCCAAGGAACTTTAATCATATTTTTGGTAGGAATTTAAACTGGTTTCATATCAAGATCTTATCAGTTTTTTCTTACTCCAGGACATTTTACTTAAAACATTTTGTTGAAAACTAATCATGTATAATTTATGGACATTTAAAATTATGAAGGGAGAGAGAGATGGGGGAGGGGATAATTTCAGAATCTGTAATTAATCCAGTCTAATTCAAAATTTCCTCAGGGCACTTTGATCCCCCCCCCCCCCCCAAAAAAAAATTGTAAGAATCTGTTCACAAGAATTTGAGATATGGTGTTCTTATTCATTTTAAGATAAGGAAAGTGTCATCATATTAAATCCACAATGTTCAACAATTTTTCAAAATGCTAATTCTCCTACAGTTTTGGTTCATTTTCAATATAACTTGGTACATGAGTAGACTACACTAATTCTGTGTAACCATTTTTGATTTTAATGAATGGTGTTGCCATGGATTCTAAAAATAGAAATTTCTGTGAAATTCTTTCAAAACGCTACTCCTCCTATATGAGTGTTTGTTCTTTGCTTTTATAAGATACTAAATGTGTTATACAAAAAATGTTTTCACCATGGTGAGTGACATATCTGTTGATGGCGACCAGAAATTCTGAAATGGCAACCCCCACAGGGCTTGACATTAACTTTTTTCCTACTTGTCCATTCGGACAAGTGACCAAGACATTTACTTGTCCGAACTTCAACTTCACTTGTCCGAAAAATTTTCAATAAAGATCTAATACTGTTAACTGAAAAACTAAAAATAAAGTCCATTATATGTGCAAGATGTTATATATAAATACATTGTACAACAAACACATAAAACAAAATTTTATCTAGACTTTCTGTCCTGACAACATAAATGCTGTCAACATAAAACAGAATCCAAACTTCGTCAGTTCCATGCCTTTGCAGTAGTATGCAATTAGTGAACTTCGATCCCGATTGAGTGTACTCAATTACATTGCAATCTATATCGGGATCGAAGTTCGGTTTTTATACGCTCGTCTTTAGACGGGATGTATTATGTTATGGCGTTCATGTCCGTCCGTCCGTCCGTCTGTTAGCTGTTCTCGTGTCCGGCTCATAACTTTAATACTATTAGGCCTAGGATTATCAAACTTTGTCAGCTGATACTTCTTGGGTAGAAGGTGTTCGCGCACTAAAAGTAGGTTGTTCTGACCTTTAATTAAGATGCTATGGAAAAATCCTGTCCGGCTCATAACTAGAAAACTATTAGACTTAGAATCGTCAAACTTGGCCAGTTTATGCATCTTAGGTAGAAGGTGTGTCGCGACCTATTTCAAGGTCACTGTGACCTTTAATTTAAGTGAAATTTAAAAAAAAATCTGTCTTTTTACTATTAAATTACACAATCCCAAAAAATGTAAAAGTGTTGCAGTATCCTTACTAAAAAAATGTTAAAATCAAGAAATACTTATTTTTTTCATTATATACTTTACAGCTATCTATAACAAATATAATGTTACAAGAGAAAATCCACCTCTCCCATGGATGTAATTATCAGGCACTGGTCAAGAAGAATTTTGATAACAGAAAATTGCATGTCAAATTAGAGAGAAATGAATGAGTTTAGTGTGAGGAGCTAACTGGTAGAGCATCTCTGATCAAGCAGGTGTTATCTATATCTCTTGGGAATTCAGGGCAGAAGAATCAGCCATGTTGGATTAAATAGTTTTTGTGAAATGAATTGGTGAAAAGTAATTAAAACTAATTTGATATTGTGTAATAAACTAATTTGATATCTTATAATAAACTAATTAATTAAAACTAATTTTAGTGGGGGGGGGGGGGGGGGTTATGATATTGGAATTGGAATTAGCATGCCCATTGTCCATATGAATTGCAGCTTAAAACCAGTCTGACATTGAATCTAAAAAAAAAAACAACAAGTATTTAAAAAAGAAAAAGTTTTAATTATGGTAGATAGTCCCTACAAATCTAAGAGTTAAGCAGAAACCTTATTAAAAATGTTGCATCAAGATTACAATTTTTTTTCTTTTTATAAATCTTTGTAACAAATTGAAAAAAAAAATCTTTGTTTTCAAATTTAATTTCAGAATGACATAAATATGCATTTTAATTGCACTACAAAGCAGATAGTGCAGATCCATTCATCCCTTGGGAGTAATGAGTGGACATGCATCCAGTTAAAGATTAATTAATGAGTTCAGTGTAGGAAGGCTAGCTGTCTCAATCATTTCTGTTAGAGCATCTCTGATTAAGCAGTTCTTATCTGTATCCTTTGGGAATTAGACAGAAGAACTGCTGGTCAGTTTATAGCATATGTCATTTGATGGCCAGTCTTTTATTTTAAAATTAATTTGGTATAGATTAAGTTGTTAAGACTAAATTGATATTGTTTAATATGATATTTTTATTTAATTTTTTTAAAATATCAACTAGCAAATTTCAGAGCATCATGTCTCACAAATATGAAAGATGTGTGTGTGTGTGTCACTGTGTGTGTGTGTGGGGGGGGGGGGGGGGGGGGGGGGCTGCAGATGGGCATTTGTCAAGCTCTAACACTACCAGTTGAGGATCTATAATTTAATATTTGTTATAATTATAATGCCTACACCACAGGAAATGTATAAACAAAAATCTTGGAAATCCTTGTATCAAGGTTGACTTGATTTTCTTGCACTCTAAACTGTTCGTGATAATTGAACAATATTTGACGGGCGTATCATGCTGTGGCGGGGGCTGCAGATGGACATTTGTCAAGCTCTAACACTACCAGTTGAGGATCTATAATTTAATATTTGTTATAATTATAATGCCTACACCACAGGAAATGTATTAACAAAAATTATAAGAAATGGAAAAATCTTGGAAATCCTTGTATCAAGGTTGACTTGATTTTCTTGCACTCTAAACTGTTCGTGATAATTGAACAATATTTGACGGGCGTATCATGCTGTGGCGGGGCACTTTATTATGTACTGTTTCCGTCTTAAAGTACTGGTAAACTTTCAACAGTTGTTCTTTATTAAATGTTTAGAGACTTCTTTACATAAAAATGCACTTGTCCAATCGGACAAGTGCCCATCAATATTCACTTGTCCGTATTTTTTTTTCACTGGTACCGGACAAGTGGACTAGTGTTAATGTCGAGCCCTGCCCCAAAAATTTGGGTTGCCATTTAGCGACCTGATAGTAGGTGTGACTTGGAGCACTGGACTTGGTACACAAGTAGACTATACTAAGATAATTTATTCTATTTATTGGTTTTTGATTTCATTGAAAAGGTTACTAAAAACAGAAATTTTTATGCCCCGCCATGAATATGGCCGGGGCATATAGTGTTTGTCATGTCCGTCTTCCGTCCTTCAGTCCTTCTGTCCTTCCGTCACACTTTGCGTTAAGCTCTGTTCAAAGCTCAGTTTCAAAGAAACTATCCAAGATATTTTTATCAAACTTCATATGCTGATAGATATTGATGAGAGCTATGCAACTGCATCAACATTTTTTTACCTTGACCTTTCCTTTGACCTTGACCTCACTTTTCTTAAATTAGTGTTTAGCTCAGTTTTAAAGATACCATTCAAGATAGTGTAATCAGACTTCATATGTTGATACATACTGATGTAAGCTATTCAACTGCATCAACATTTTTTGACCTTGACCTTTCTTTTGACCTTGACCTCACTTTTCTTAAAATAGTGTTTAGCTCAGTTTTAAGATACCATTCAAGATAGTGTAATCAAACTTCATATGTTGATACATACTGATGTAAATTATTCAACTGCATCAATATTTTTGACCTTGACCTCACTTTTCTTAAATTAGTGTTTAGCTCAGTTTTAATGAAACCATTCAAGATAGCGTTATCAAACTACATATGCTGATACATACTGATGAGAGCTATTCAACTGCATCAACATTTTTTGACCTTGACCTTTCCTTTGACCTTGACCTCACTTTTCTTAAATTAGTGTCAAACTTTATATGCTGATACATACTGATGAGAGCTTTTCAACTGCATCAACATTTTTTGACCTTGACTTTTCCTTTGACCTTGAACTCACTTTTCTTAAATTAGTGTTTAGCCCAGTTTTAAAGAAACCATTCATAATATTTTTATCAAACTTCATATGCTAATACATACTGATGTAACTTTTTCAACTGCCTAAACAATTTTTGACCTTGACCTTTCATTTGACCTTGACCTCACTTTTCTTATATTTGTGGCAAACTTCATATGCTGATACATACTAATGTTAGATATTCAACTGCATTAATATTTTTTCACCTTGACCTTTCCTTTGTCCTTGACCTCACTTTTCTCAATTTGTGTTAAAATGTTGCATTTCTGATATACCCTCGACAGGGCATTCATGTCCTATGGACATATTTCTAGTTTTTGGAAATTTTTATAAAACACTTCTCCTCCAGGGGTGTGCAATTACCATTGCCTGATGCCCGGGGCTACCAATTTTAGAGGTCAGGCTATCATAAATCTATACTGCATTAGCCTGACAGCTAGTAAATCTAAAACGAGTATACGTATATTTACGTTGACTGAATTGATGTACGAATTAACTTTGTTGTAAAATCGTAATCTTTAATAATTCCTTTTAACCTATATGTATTCGG